TCATCTATAACAGCCTCAAGTCTTAAGTAGCAGATCATGCTTTTAAAGTTTTATTTTCTTAGGGGGGAAGAAAGGAATATATAATTACTTCAGGCGGAAAACCACCACAGTAAGTAGTCTTCATTGCTTCAAGACATTTTTATGAAGAAAAACACATTATTACACTCTGTTTTTCCGAGGTGAGGTCTCTTTTTATTCCCACCTCTAACATTTATTTAAAATAAACACAAAGTTGATTCTTCTTCTGAAAAAAGTTTAACGATGATCTTTCACAAATTACAGTGGTTTGAATCTACTCATAAGTAGTAGTCAGCACTCTGGAGGGGTGAAGGGTCTTTAGATTCTACCTGAAGTCCTGTGAACAGAATCCTAACAAGCAGGTTGTTGAGCCCAAGGCAGGCACCACAAACACGTGTTGGACCCTGTGAATGGGTTCGATGTGATGGAGAAGATGGGGCTCCAGAGACTCCACCTCCTCCTCAGCCCAGCCCCCCATCATCACCAATTTTCAGGATTCTCGGTCTTAATGCTGTCTCCACCTACCTGCTTTTTTCCACCCTACTTATCTTAAACACCTAAACACCTTCTCTTCTTCTGCTGTTAACTATGGGGAGTTTCCAACAACACATCTAATAGAATCCTGCCTGAGGTGAAGTTTTAACTAGTCTGCATCAGTATTGAGGATTAAAAAAAGAAGGCACATTCACTAAGATTTCAGTTAAGCTCGTCTTATTCTGAAATTACTGCGATCTTCCTTCTTCTTCCTTCCTTTTTGATGTTAAATGATCCCTGCTTTTTATAAAACAGTGATGACTGTTAATTTTGTTTTTGCGAATGTCTTTAATTTGCCCTCTGTTGGTCACTCCGTGTTTGTATGCTTGCGTGTTAGTATTATTAGTGTGCTCAGTGACCTGTGAACCCCCAACCATGATGGAGCCACGAGGTACTTGTTTGCTGCCGTAAAAGATCGTGTCCCGGTTCTGGAGACAACCTAGCAAAGAGAAAAGAAAAAAGAAGGCTCTGGAGTCGCCCAGACAGGATCTGATGCTGGTTCTTGTGCCCCTGAGCAGGCACTGAATTCCCTGAGCTTGATCGTCATTTTCCATATAGCTGGGGTGATCATTGCTACCTCAGAGAGTTGTCAGAAAAGGAGAGCTTCTAACGTAATGTATGATATACAATGAATGCTCAAACAATGTGTTCTCTGACCTTCTGTGCCTTTTTTTCTCCCTTCCTTAGCTCTTGAAGAATGAGATGAAAAATGCCCAGCGCACGTGTCAGAGATAAGAAAATGCAAGAGTCTGACACCAGCATTTATCCACAGGTACAATGCTGAGCGAGGGACGCACCGGCAGAGAGGTTGGTACAAACTGTGGAACTGGGTAGGGTTGTGTCAGGAAGACTCCTTCCAGGCCTGAGGTGCATTTTGAAAAGCGTCCACAACACGTTGTGAATGAAGGAGTCTTAGAAAGGGACAGGACATTGGAGAGCATGTGATCTTAGATTCTGCAAAGGGTGGACCTATCCCACTAGGGATGTGAGCGATGGTTGTATATGATACACAGGTGCTAAAAATCACAGAATCACGCACTGAGAGGTATTCCCCTTCCAAGTCTTGTAATCGTGATTACATCAATAAGCAAGATTCAGTTTGTGCTAGGCTACCTATAACATTCCTCTAACGTGTGGTAAGAACAAAGAAGATCAGGCTGCAGGATCATAGCCACCAGAAGGCAAGAACATCCAGACGGTTCAAGGTAATGTTTTATTTTTATTGTGTTTATCTTTCCTATTACCTTCTGTTTATATCTTCTTCCATTAACACTGGTGGTAGAAAGCTTTTCAAGTAGACTTAAGTTTTAGAGGGAAGTGAATTTCAAATTTCAAGGTAATAATGAAATACTTGATGCACAACGACCCCGTCATGAGTAAAATTTAGGAAACAGTGACCTAGCCCACTTCTTTCCCGAGAAAGCAGATGAGGAAACTGAGGTTCAGAGAAAGAAAGATACCCTCTTCCAAGCGCACATGGCTGGCTATCCCGAGGACTGAAGCCCAGTTCTCCCGAGTGCCTCCTTACCTATCTAGCTCTGCACCAGGTGACAAATTCTTGTGTTAAACTGAAGGTAACTGGATGTAAGATCAACAACAGACGATGTGCTGTGGGTTGTCAGGAAGGGACTGGTTCCTGAGGCTGGTGTGTGTTATGGGGGAGGCTTGGAGAAGACCAAGACTGGCCTAGAACCCGCGACTGCCGGTCTGAGCCTCCTGGAATCAGAGGCCTGTCCCCAGGGCATCCAGGGAAGTCCCTGAGGCAGCCCCAGAGGGACTGGTGGCTGAGACTCCTCCTGGAATCCAGCGAAGATGGCTGGAATCCCAACGTTTCTATTTGGCAAGAAACCTCTGGGTATCTCTGAGCTCATCTGTACTCCACTCCGCAAAAATGTAGAGGAGTGATAATGGCTCTCCTTTGTCAGGCACCTCGTCTGCCAAGCCCCTTTGATGCACTACAACACTAGAAAGCAGTTATCTGCCTAAGACAGATGAGGACATTTGGACCCTGAATGATCATATCACTCCCGGGCCTCTCGAGCAAGACAAAGGGTGGAGTAGGATTCAAACCCCAACGCTTTCAGGCCAGACTCTAGCCTTAACCGCACTCCTATAGTGAGAAAATTAAATGCAGACAAGCCCTGGAAGCATCTTGCACAGCGCCAGGCACGTAATGGGCAGGGGAGCACCGTTCCCGCCAGTCACTTTCACCCCGGGGTCTAGAAACTTCTCCTCAGGGGCCTTGCCTGGGACTACAACTCCCTGGATGCATCAGGCGGAGAAGTTGGCCAATCAGCAAGTCAAGTCTCACTTTAACCGCCCACTCGACCTACCCAGCGTCCTTAGCTTCGGTGAACGTTGGCCTGGTGGGTCATGACAAGGTTCCGGTGTGGGCAGGCCAGGGTGACTCCGATTTGAGGGTCAGGGGGAGGGTGAAGACTGCTGAAGTTTCCCGGTTGGCTCAGGGCACTTCTTCCGCGCGGAACTGGTGGGCACGGAGGACCGGAAGTCCTTACCGGCGTAGATGCGTTGGGCAGAGCCTGCCGGGTCACGCTGAGAGCGGTTGTCAGGAAGGGGGTGGTTCCCGAGGCTGGCGTGTGTTACCGGGAGGCTTGAGGAAGACGAGGTCTGGCCTAGAACCTGATACAGCGGGTCCAAGCGCCGCCTCGAGTCGGAGGCCTGTTCCGAGGCCTCCCAGGAAAGTCCCTGAGGCAGCCGCAGAGGGGCTGGTGGCAGAGAGGCCTCCTGGGATCCGGGGAAGATGGCCGCTGGAATCCCAGCATCTGCATTTGGCAGGAAACGGCTGAACATCTCGGGGCTCATCTCTACTCTGCTCCTGTGCAAAAATGTAGAGGGGTGATAATAGCTCTCCTTTGTCAGGCACATCGTCTGCCAAGCCCCATGGGTCTGGGAGCCCAAGGGGACGTTGAGGCTGCCTAGGTGTCCGTTTTCAGGCCCCAAGTGGCGGTTGGACAGGCCACCAGCCACCGGGGGTTCCTCGTGGGTGTCAGTTGCTCCGGGAGGGAGGGTCCGGCCCGTTAGAGCGTGGGCTGCGGGGCAGCAGTCAGCGGCAGGGGCTTGCCGAGCGTGCGGTGCCTCCAGGTTGTGGATCAGACAAGGGTCTCAGCCTCTGAACCTACTCTTCTCTCTGCCCCAAAGCCAGGCTACACTTCCCGCCTCCTGGGAAGAGCTCCTTGCGGCCTTGGTCTCCCCGTCTTTGATTGGTAGCCTGACCACGCTCCGTAGGGGCGGCTCGGTGCAGCCCCGGCCTCCCTCCAGTCTGGTGGGATTTTGTCGCTGGCCCAACCCACCCACGGGGAATTGAAAGCCCTGGGTGACTGGACTCCAGACTGGGAGGGTCAACTTTCTTGGGCATTTTTCTGTCCGTTTAGTTTGTACTTCCTTCATGTTTTCTTAAGTTTATTTTTACATTCTGTCCACCCCCTTTATTTTTGTATCATCTTTGCTTTCCCCTCAGACCTGAATCTTTTGGGGGCACCACACCCGAGAGCTGCCATTCCCTTTTCAGCAGAAGGGGCTTGTCCGTGCGTGTGAAGTGTGTTTTATTGGTGGTCTTAAAAACGAACTTTTTATTTCCTTGACAGTGGCTCCAAGTGTGCGAGAGAAGTAGGATCAATCCCTCTTACTCGGTAGAAGGTGGAGGCAAGGAAATCATTTAAAGGTTGGTTTGTTTTCATGATTTTGGACAAGTCACATAACTGCAGGCCTTTCAAGTGGCTGGAGCTGTGTGTGTGGACTGGGGTTTCTTTTTCAAACTGTTCTGGGAGATTTGAATGGCTCAGATTAGTTTCTGGTGACCCCCCCACCACCACCAACCCCTGCGTTGTTCTGACACAGTTGTTTAAATATATGCACTGCATATATAGCACTGTAACACATTGATGTATGGATTTCACTTGACCAATATTCAAATGTGGAATTCAGTTGCCCTAATTGCTTTAGCTAACATAGACGTGGTCATTTTGCCATCCTCTTAGTGAATTATAATCAAATCTTGTTTTGAATTTTACTATCTATTTAAAGAAATTGTACGTGGACCCTGTCACTCAAGAATAAGCTAGAAAAAGACGCTGACTTAGAGATCTTACACAATTGCTTAGTTGTAAGGGAGTTTGTAAGCGCCAAGGCTTTCTGAAAAAGGGGACCTCTGCGCCTCCCTGGTGAGAGCCCCATCTTGTGCATACAGTTTGATTACAGGAGAAACCTCATCCTATGAATTCCAGTTGGTGGTGTTTTCAGTTGAGAAAACATTAACCTAACAAGCTGATAACCTTCTTATGTTAGAATTCTAGCCATTTACAAAGACTACTATTTCAGTTCTGAAATAACAGATTTTCCTTTTAGAACTACTGAAAATTTAAGTATTTTAATAATATACATAAATACTTCGGGTTCATACATTGTTTTTGTTCCTCTTTTAAAATCAGATGTTGAGGAATGGTGTTGCTGACCATAAGCTAAATGTGGAAGCCATAATTAAAAATATTAATACAATTTCTTTGGAGTTGAAGAAGATGAAAGGTAAGCATGAAATCAGTAAATTAAAATGTTTGCATGTCATCGTTATGAAATAAATAGCACATTTCTAGGGACACTCCAACCCTAACCAAACACTCCCTGGGGCGAGGGATCCCTATCTCACCAGTGAACCTGTTGCATTTTTAAGACAGTTGCCCCTGACGGACTGGCTGAAACCTGTTCCCCTATTCCTTTCACTCACTGGTCCTACTTCCAACCATGAAAACTACATCGATTATGTAGTTCTTTTGACAGCTTTTGGATATTTGGAGATAGTTGTGAGGCCTACATCTACCTGTAAAAAATACCAACTTAACATGGTGTACGCACTGAGGAACACAAGATCTAAGGTGGGGCAGCCCGGAAGATAATTCAGAACTTTGAAGACGTCATCGGGTCCTGGGTTCTTTCTCTCCTTTGACCCTGTTCACCGCTCCGCATGGCCATTGCCTGCAGAGGTGGCCAGGTGCAGACAGGCACCACACCGTCTCTGCCTGTGTCTGTTCATGGAAGCCTTGCCCAGGTCCCTCCAGCACTTGCCCCTTCCCTTTCATTGGCCAGATTTGCATCACAGGCGCCTGTCTGCATCTGCTGCAGCAGCTGCCGCTGCTAGGGGCTCTAGGGCTGCCAAGACCAGCTTGGACCAGTCAGAGCTCACTGCTGAAGCTGGGGAGGAAAGGATCACCACAGATGGAGACAAACTGTGCCACCCAGAAGAGGAGGAGGAAGGGAGCGGTCAGAGAGGCACCGAATAGTGAGTGCCTGTTACGCTCTGTCTGCCCGTTCCTCCCAGGGCGGCGTTTCCCAGGCGGGGCTCTGTGAGTCCTGCTGTCCTACCGGATGCTGATAGATGGCGTGCAGTGCAAATGAAGTCCACACGCTCAGGGTCAGATACCTTTGGGAAGTACATCATGCTCTAAATTTCTGTCACAGATTTACAGTAAGTAGTAACAAAGGCACTGGGGAGTCTGGTGTAAAGAAACCTGGTTAGCTTCGCTTAATTTATCTCTAACACCACTCTCAACCCTACAGCGAGGATTCTGTTTCTAAAATATAAATCGGCTGAAACTCTCACTGGTTCACAGTTGTCCTCAGGATAAAGTCTGAACCTCCTTGAATGGACTATAATAGCTTTTGAGATTTGGCGTGGTATTTTTCCCCTCCATGCTCTATGCTCTGACCATTCTGAACTAGGTGCATACCTACAGACCTGCTCTTCGTGTGTGTGTGTGACTTAACCACACGCATCGCCTTCTGAAGTGCCCGCTGCTGCACCCCCACCTGCACCCTACCGGGTTCCCTGCTACTCACTATACACTGTTAGTCAAGATTACTTAGGTTGGAAAACTTTCTCTAAGCCTTCGTGTAATCTCTTCTACCTTTCCCTACCTCTCACATTGTGTTATAATTGCATGTTCACTACCTTTTCCTGTCCCTGCTCAACGGAAAGCTTTCTAAAGGTATTCCCAGCAGTTAACACAGCACCTTGATATAATAGGTTCTTGGAAAATGTTTACTAAATGCGAAATTGGTTCTGGATGCTTACGCTCATTTAAAACTGAGATGCTTTAGATTCCTCCCAAATTTGATGATCTGACTGTTATAGTTTGGGGATTATTCTTTCATGAAGAAAAACAGAAATAATAAATATGGTATATGTGTTTCTGGAAAGTTGTAGGGTACATCAGACAGTGAGGCTATAGGGACTTGCAGACTTGAAGGAGGGTAGACTTCTGGTAGACATCGAAGATTAAGTGAACACTGTTTACCCCATTTCCCCCTAAAATACTGTCCATAGATAACACTTAGAATATTTACCATAATCCAGATACTCTTCCAAGTGCTTTGCGTAAATGGACTCAATTGTCATAATCTCACATGCTAGGAAATAGTACCATTGGCATTTACAGGCACAGAAACAGACATGGAGCAGTTACCTCACTTTTCCTGAGGACAAAAACTAGTCCCTGGTAGACCTGAGATTTAAAGCGACTTTAAAAGAGACAAAAATGCATAAGACAAAGAGCTCTCAAAAAATGTGTTAATTACAAAACAGAAAGCAAATGGAAACAGAGAAGTTTGAACCCTCAAGTCCAAAAATCTGAACTGTGAGTCAGCTGGGTAAACCCAAGAAATAGCCCCAAAGACTCGATACTTGATGGCACCAGAATCATCTGGAAGTCAGGATGAAGATGGAGCTAAGAATAGGAAGGCTTAAGAAGTTTAAGGAGTTAGCCTCTGGGGTCTCCTTCCCCCTCCACTTAACTGTGCAGCTGTTTCTCTGTGACAGAAGACTCCAGGTTTATTCCCCATGGGGGTAGAACAAGGGGTCTCTGGCCAGGAGCCACCAGCCGCAAGGTGAGGGGGAGAGTGGTGTGCTAAAAACGAGGGTATTAAGGCCAAGTTTACCTCCAGCTTCCTCTTCCCATGTGGCTACAAAACATTGACAGCCTGATTTATATCCTCAAGCAGATTCCTCTTTCAGGTGTATGGCCAGCCTAAGATTATTGATATTTTACTGATATCAATACTGATAGCATAGATTTCCCCAATCACATACCTAGTCAGGTCACCTCGCAATGTAGACAGACTACCATGGGCATAGAGCTTCCGATTATCTTTACAGTGCCACGGTCTCAATATGAACAAACAGCTATGGCCCAGCAAGGCATTTGAGGACGGCATTTACTATGAAGAGCAGAGAACCAATAAATAGATTGAGCCAAGGAGGAAGAAACAAATTATGAAGGGAAATGAAAACTCCAAGAAATTATCACTAATATCTACAAAGGAGAGAAGGTGCTATGTTCATGAGAAAAGAACATACAACTACAAAAATTATTTAGAGAACAGACGGGAGCTCTTGGAAATTAGAAATGTGATTATAGAAGTAAATAATATAGAAGGGTTTAAAGATAAAAATGAAGAAAATTCCCTGTAGAGGTGTCCAGGCTTTTGGCATCTCTGGAAGAAGAGTTGTCTTGGGCCACCCATTAAATACATTGCAACATGCAATCAAAAAAGTCTCATCCTGTTTTAAGTAAGTTTACGATTTTGTGTTGGGCTGTAATCATAACCGTCCTGGGCCGCAGGTTGGACACCCTTGCAGAGTATATAAAGGAAGGGAAATGTCATATTACATGACTTGGCTGTGAAGAATATTTATGTAATCAGAAATTTTAAACATTATATATTGAGCTAGCAAAAATTATTCTCAAGTATATTGGGGATGGCATGAGTGAAAAAGTTACATATTAATCTGTTGTAGTTAGAAGTGGATAGATAATACCTAAAATTGGAAAAAAAGTAATTCTGTCATTTAGAGAGATGGAGGTAATACCAGCCCCCATCAGCTCCACAGACACACAAACAAAATGAGTGAAAGAAGTTAAGTAATTGCTTCTGGGAGATAAAACTGCTAGTTTTTGTAACATGCCTTATAGACCTATTAATTCTTTATACTATGTACATGAATAACATAAAAGTGGTAAGCTTTTAAAACTATAAATCAAATTTGCATAAATCAAGTTTAGGTTAGTAAGATAGCTGACAAGTTGGGCTAAAGAATCCTGCTAATAAATTTTTGGCATGCCTCTTTGTAGTTCATAAATTTGACTTGAAGACACAGTGAGCACACCTAAATTGTGGTTTGGTCAATAATCACTTAGAAGAAAACTAAGTCAAGAATTAGGAAACAGCTACTGAGAGTAAAGCTAGTTGTCTAGAACATACACTCTGCAGTATGACAGCCTCTCTCATTTTGTTTTACGCAGAGCTCTCCCAGTTACTGCTTTGTGACCTTACTCTACACTTTAACCATCCTGTGAAGACGGGTGGCTTCAAAGAAGCAGTAGGAAGCAGCCCCCCCTTTGAAGAGTTTAAAATATCAGATGTATCCCTTGCTTCTACCAGTTTTTCTCCCTAATTTCTTATTTGTTGTGAATTTATTACAGTGTATTTTTGAATTAACACATTTCTGAGAGAACTGAGTTTACTAATATATTTTATATAATAAAAATACGTTGAGTTGTAAATAATCATTTCACTTTCCTGAAGGCTGATTTCTTGTTGTTTTAATATTTCAAAGAATGGCTAATTTATCTCACTAATGGCAAGGGCAGTTGGCCATGTGGCACCTTATGCTTGGATTTGGCTCAGGTTGAAAGAATCCGTAAATTACAAATGGGTGGTATGAGTTTATATCAGTATGATCTCTCTTGGTAGGAAGCGCCAAAAAAAACTTAAGCTAGATGAGGCATGTGTTTGGCTTGGAAGTCCTTGGTTGGAGGAGATAATCGAGGACTCCACTAATAGATCCTTTATCTCTATCCTGGTTTTGTTTCTGGGCTTTGGCTTCCTCCTCCCCCCACCCCCCCTCCCTGTATGGACTGGTGGTCTCAGTGACGGCGGGGGTTGGGGGGGCGGCTAGAGGCAGGGCAGCAGACAGCTCCAGGTGTGCAGACAGCTGTGGGTGTACAGATCCCCGGGAAAGAGATCCTCAGATTCCGCCACTGTGCTTGACATTCCAGAGGAGGACACCAGCTTTGGTTAAGGTGCCCTGAGCAGGGTCCTGAGCAACCGTGATTGGTGAGGCTGGGTCATACGCAGGCTTGTGGCCAAGGGCTGGGAGGCCCTGCCCGAAGCAGGCAGTTGCCATTGCCTGAGAGGGGGAGAAAGGACACCAGCCACAAAGCCCGCCAGGTACTCGCTGCTTATTTCAGAGCAGCGGGATGGCTTTTAGTTGCAGGATACCTTTATCCTAAAACTTCCAATTTCTCTCTTTCCACCAAAGGAGACTTAAAATAATAAGCTTTTGATTGCCATATAAATATGATTCATTAGCAAATAGTTGCTTGGAAATCTACCATGTCCTTCATTTGAGATGTTGGTGAATATAAAGGATAGACTACTATCAAGCAAGACAGGGGGAGCTCACTCCATAGCAGAACTTAGAATATTTGCCATCCTCACTACCCAGCCCCTAGCTCAGTATTTAACACACTAAACAAATGCAGGGTTTTCAGCTTTAGAACCTGCAAGTTGTGGGTTCTAAACTGAGAACTGGTAAGGATGAAGTTTTGTGAAACATCATTTATTGGTTAAAAATGTCCACCTACTCATCATAGGAAATTGGCAGTTTTAACCTGGTGACTTTCTAGATCCTTCTGTGTTCTGTTAGCTCATGAAAATGAGATAGTAAGACACCCATACGTTGTCACCCAGAAAGCTTGCAGATGAAGCAGAGAAGCCAACAATTTTTGTTAATATAAGTTGTGGAATAACAACCAAGGACCCAAAGGGTAAAACTTGAAGAACCACTGAATACCTACTGCTTTTTCTGAAGTGAGATATGTAAATGAAGGAAAGAGGTGAATTGCTCTGCAGGATTTATAAAGCTGTTTCGGTAAGGATGAGGCAAAAGGACAGAGTTGTCAGGGGAATGAAAAGAGATGGAAGGTTATCTAGCCAGAATCTCTGATCAGATTTTTCTGTGTATGTTCATTGTCTTTTTATCTTCGCAGGAAGACATTGGTAAACTACAGCAATTGAGAAGAGGGGGCGGGATGTGGGTGTTGAGATGTAATGGACTTAAATCTAGGTGTATTTGATACTAAAACCTCACCTCTAAATTTAAAATGTTTTCTTTTGGTATTTTTAGCTTAAATTTGCTTTAAAACAAAAATATAAGAGTACGGACAAAACAGGTCAAGTAAGTAGTTTTAGGAACCCAAAAGTAAAGCAAAAGGCAAATTAATTTTAATCTCAGAAAGTTATTCCAACATGTATTCGTCTTTTCATAAAAAAGTATACAAAAATCCCCCCAACAAAAAAGAAACACCAAATAAGAAAGGATGAAATATTTTTGAAGCCTTTTAAATTATTGCTGTTGAGAAAGTTAATTTTAGTGATTTTCAAATTATACATATAAAAGTGATGGTTGCCCCTGACTGATAAAAAGTTTGGCTATAAAACAAATCAGTTTTATGGGATAACAAAAACTATTACTGTTTATAAGTGTTTTGAAACTTGCCCCAAATTATTTTTGTAGCTGTGTAAACTGTTCTTTGAAGTGGGTACCAAAAATACACGTTATTTGTATGAATTATACAGTGCACTACTTAGACTTCAAGTGTGAACATAATTACTCCTGCACTTTGCAAACACTGAAGAAGAATAAATAAATTATGGGATACTTGACAGCCTTCATTTCAGATCCTTTCTTAAACCCTTGTGTTCACGTCGAGGGGTTCGCTTCAGACCTAAGTACCCGTCCAGTTGTCAGGGTTGACTGAAGCCGCTGGGCTGCCGACAGTCAGGAGGAAGGTCGCTTGCTTGGCTGGCTTGCTACGGGTAAGCTGCAGAATACGTTAATGTGCACTGGTATCTGGAACCCCGGTTTTTCCCATCGATGAGCAGAAGCGGCATTTTCCGGAAGTAGTCAATAATATCTGACACAGACAGAAAGTCCTGGAAGATTCAAAATAGGGAGATAGATCAACACGGGAACAGGTAGTGTGATGTTCACCCTCAGGTTTTTTAGCTGCATAATATCCTACCTCTTGAAGTTACGAGGATTTTGATATTTTAAAAAACCCTAATATTTGGCAAGTATTTTAATGATTTCTGATACAGAACTTTGAAAAAATAATTCGTCACCAACATCCAATAAACTATGGATAAAGACATGTATATGCCACTCTAGATATATGACTATAAAATATATTTTTAACCTCATGTAGGGGATCACACCTAGGGAGTCTAAGTATGGCACCCTTGCCTTAAGATTCCCCTCTTGGTATTTTTGACGTTGGGTTCTGCTTCCCATTTCTCAGTCATCAGTAGTGTGGGCATGGGCAAGGAATCAGGAGGTCGGAGTGTCCCCGGTGTCTGGAGAGGGCATGTGCAGTGCCTCGTGATTTTTCTGCTGCACCCCCACTGCCACCCCACACGCGAGGGTGCGGCTTTGCGTCCATTGCCTGCGTCGCCCTATCCCTGAAGGCCAGCTGGGAACAACCCACCCGTCGTCCTAGACACGGGTCAGAGGGCAGCTCCGCACTGCAGGCAGGGCTGTGCCCTTCCTCTGACCACCCTGCTGGGCGCCTCCCTGCGGCCCCTGGGATTTGGGTTTCCCCACCAGGCTGGCAGGAGTTCTGTGGACAGACCTCTCCGCTTCTATAGGACCTCGGCTGCTCCAACCACACTAGCCCCGCGATTCAGATGTTTGACCAAAATCATTTGTTTTTTTCTACTCATTTACATGACCGTAACTTAAAAATATTTGAAGGGACGTGGAATTAATGGGGGAGGTCTTTCTCGTTCTGGAAATGTTTGATTCAGCCAAACCTCCCTCCTGGAACCTTGAATGTAAAGCACGTGTTTAGGGCGTTGCATTTAGCTCTTCATTCCTTTGCAAAGTGCAGTCCTGAGAGGCGGCCTTCATGCCGGTCTGATGGCCACCCACGAAGTGACCATGTGAACCTCGGCCGAACAGAGGGAGGCGGCTTTGGCAACTTGGCACCTTCGTTGGCTAAACCTCCATTTTTAGGAAGAGATAAGTATCTAAATCACCACAACAAAAATTCTATTTTTTCCTTTTCCATTTGTCTATTTAAAATATTGCCTTAAAAATACACTGCAATCTTCTATTAAAATTACGTCACAAAGGTGAGTGAGGAAGGGATTTGCCCTTGACACCATCTGGGTCTCTTCTGAAAAATTGAAATGTTTATACATTCTTTCTGATTTCAAAAGTTATGCATGTAATTTTAGATTATTTTGGAACAAAAGATAGAAGACATTGCAATGGCAAAGGTAACTACTGTTAACATTTTGTTTTATTTCCTTTCAGTAAACAAAGGGTTCCCCTGAAGTGATTGAACTCTGAGGTTGCCACACAGCATGGACCCACAAAGAGTGTTACAGCAAAGATCACGCAGGTAGGTATGCAAAGAGGCGTAAAACAGAACGTGGGGACACTTTGCAGCTGGAAGCCCTTACCTCCTTCCCTCGGAGTCCAGTCCCCAACATGTAAACTTGGCTTTCCTCCAGATAACGGATCTGGATGTTGTAAACTTTATCTTTGTATAACACCATGAGGACGTACGGATTGGTTACTGTTTTCTTAGAGCTGTCTCGGACCAGAAAAGTGCCATCCTAAAAGGAAAAACTGTTGTTATTATGGGCACGGTAGAAGTCGACACTTGTGTTGCCCCGTAAAACAGTAGACAAGTGTCTATGGACCTGGGAAGCTGTCATTGCCAAGTCAGAAAACACTCAGTTTGCCCCAACAGCCAAAATCCCATGTGCTGTGGATTTCCTGGTTACCAAGAAGGAGGCAACAGAGATTGTCAGAGAACTTTCCAAGTCATCCTCTGAGGTCTCTTGATGCAAAGGAATCCCTTGCTCAGTAATAAAACATATGATAGGTGGTCGAGTGGATAAAGAACTAGGTGAAATCAGGGCTTGATTGGTTAAAAAGGGCAGATGTTCCCACTCCTGGGAGCTAATTTTCTAACCTTTCTTCCCACAAAGTCAGAAAACACCCAAATGCCTATAAAATTCATGCACTCCTTTAAACCTCACGATCCAGATGAAATGTTTTGCACCTGAACAAAACTGAATGTGGACTGTCTGTGTGCCTCTTTTTTTCCTGATATTTACTACGTCGTGTTGTGATTTGTCCTATATTTTAAATTTTTATTTCATATGTTATTGCTATAAAATATTAATACTGTAAAGATCTGATATTAGAATTAGTGAGGACATGAACGACTCTTTTTGGGTATTGAATCAGAGTGGCTTTAAATACCCATCAGTCTGCATTAATGGTATTATTTTTTTTTCCAACTTAAAAAGTAAATTTCATCAGAACATCTCTGTTGGAAAAAACATACCCATGGACCAGTGATTCAGATCCTTGGTTTCACTTTAGAATCATCTGGAGAGTTTTAAAGACTCCCAGAGCACACACTGTGCCCCCAAGTAATTAAATCAGAATCTCCCCAGGTGATATCCAGGAATCAGAATCTTTCAAAGTTCCCCAGGCTATTTAAATGTGCATTTAAGGTTGAAAACCACTTTTGTAGACCCTAGACATGAAAGATGAAGGGTCTTCACTTTCTCTTCTCTGATACACAGATTTAAGGTGAAGGTTCAGCATCAGGTGACAAGAAATCTGGTTAAGACCTGCTAATATTAAAGGACAGCTAGAAATTTCTCAGGGAAAGGGCAAAATGTTGCTGCTGTCTCTGGATATAATCTCCTCACGTCGATATCAATGGCAACTGAGTAGGAAGATGGAACTGGGAAGATGTTGGAAATCTGGAGGAGAGCCTCCTTTTGACATTGGACCTTTACGATAATAAAATCCCCTACGATTCTGCCAGCCAAATGGCCTTAATCGAGACTTTTTCTGGGGTCCTAGGAGTCACTGTTTGGCTGCTGGTAGGTGAGAAACTGGTACTAACGGGTCCCCTTGGTATAACAGCATGGACCTAGCAGAACTCCTGGCCCCTAATTGGTACTCAGGAAAAGTCTGTTCCCTTTTTCTCCTTCCATTAATATTTATCACCACTTAAAAATAAACTTTAGCACAGTACCTGGTTTATCTTTCTAAGAGCAGCTTCTGCCTCTGGTCGGGTAATATAAGAAACGTACCACTCTTCATTTAATGAATTCTGAAATTGTAAATTTTTAAAAACTGAATACATTTCGCAGTTACATATTAAGTAAAAAGAAAAGAAAAGCCTCCAAGTAATCATTTTCATAAACCACCACCTCAGTTCCATGAGGCTTGAAACATTTGTTTTCCTAATTTGAGCATAGTCACTCAGGTGGGCCTCAATAGGAGATATTTCACGTGAACTGCTTTTTATCATGATGCTGGTTGCAAAGGTAGCTATGAACAAGCATTCCTTATATAGTGGAACCTCTAATCAGGAAAGAGACAGGTATAATAATGTTTTCAGTTTACCATAATAATATACTTAATGAAAAAACTGAATTAACAAGCAGTTAAGGGACTTATTCAAGGGACTTATTCATAAACGATGAAAAACAGGATTGTGTTACTCATTGTTAAGTGCAAAACACATGTTTGCCTTTGGAAAAGTCTAAGAACACCAAGGAAAAAGCACATATTTTTCATCTGGATCGCCTCCTTAATTTTTTTCACTAAAAAAAAATTAAGGCCAATGGAAGATAAAAGTACAAAAGGATAGTCAGTGGGAATTTATGATGATTCATTTGCTGGGGAAAAACAATGAAATGAAAGCATATGCTTTATTACCTCTGCTTCCGCAGGGGACTGAGGTCGAGGCTTGCCTGGAATCGACAAGGAAATGTTCCTGCCGTCAGGTCTGGGAGGCAGTCTGCCACTGGAACCTTCAACAGGACAGCATTTTGGAGTTAACTTACTGTTTACTGTAAGCCCTTTTCCACTTCTGTCGTAACAGACCCCCGCCCCCGCCCCCTGTGCCAAATGCCCTTGCAGTTGCCCCTGGCAGTTAACATTTCAAGAAACCATCGCTTTAATTTTCACCTGTGAAGGCCATAAGGGCTGCTTAGGCATCACTCTAGTCCTGTCACTGAAGTTTTAAAAGTTCAGTGGTACCATGAATACAAGTGGCTTATTAAATGTGTATTACATAATATAAAGAGGCTAGGTCCACTGATGAAAAGGTCACAGCATTTTCTTGTGATCACCAGAAAGAATTTTCAAGAGACAGATCTTTCATAGACTCCGGCACCCCCCAGAATGGACCCCCAACCACAGATGCGGTGGCAAGGCAGTAGTGAAGACAGTGCTTTCATCCTGCTTGCAAGAGCAGATGTCAGTTGCCCGAGACAAGATGCGATTACCTTGAGGCTACTCTTAGCTATCAGAACCAGAGTTTGCTCTCTGTGGTCCGCTCTCATTGAACAGCCAGAGGCGGTACTGTTTAAAATGCATGTCCTCACCCAGACTTGTATAGACTCATGATGGAAACCTAGAACTACAGAGAAAGTCGGCCCTATCCTGAGCACGGTATAAAGATAGCAGGCATGGAAAGCTCTATTTGGGAAGATGAAGGCCAAGGCCCCCTTCCTGAGGAAGAGAGAGAGAGAGAGAGAGAGCGAGCGAGCATGTGTGTGTGTGTGGGGGGGGGGGTGTTTTATGTATTAGGTAGCATCTATCATTCTAGTAGCCATCAGTGTACTGCAGAAACTGATGTTAAGTGCTGGATGAGGAAGTGAGATGCCCTTTGGAAACAAGAGGAGCTTTGCCAAGAGGCTTTGGGGTGGGTTGGTAACCCAGTCATGAAGGTGCACAGCCTGGGCTGGGCCCTGGACCCCGGACCCCGGACCCCAGAGGACCAACCTTGGGAGAAGTATGGTGGCAGGGAGGCGCTCTGCGGGAAACTGCTGTTACTGCGGAGACAAAGAAGGGACTTCAGTTAGGTTGAGGGGGAGGAACCAGACAGAAGGCTGCGTTAGGGAAACAGGACTGTAAATGCCACTTCCTACCCACCCTGGAACCGCGAGAGCTCACTCATCCCAAGTGGACCGTCTCAAAGTCTAACAAGCTTCACAAGCCAAAAAACAAAACCAAGAAAGCTGTATAAAGCGCAATTAAAAGTTACTTTAAAAAGTTAGCTGCAGTTTGAGGCATTTGAGTTTGGGGAATGGCAGAAGTTGTCTGGGAAGAGGACTTGTCTTTTGCTTATTAGGAAAATCCAGTAATGGGCGTGGCGTTGGGGAACAGGGCCTGATGGACAACGAGAGGGTGGGTGGGTGAGAAACAAGGGACCAGGTGGCGTTGTAGCAGATGGTACCAGCTGCTGGGGACCCTATGCCATCTGCTTCGTGCTGAGCAGCATTGCCCCTGCTCATCAGCCCAAACCTGTTCAAGTCTGCTTTGCTCTGCAGTCTCATGGGAGCGGTATTTCGCAAGAATAAAGGCTAGGGTTGGGGCCCAGCATGGGGTGAACAGCATGAAAAATGGCAGATGTGGCAGAAGAAACTCAGCTGGAAGGGTAAGGGGAAGCAGCAGAAAATCAGCAAGAGGCACCCAAGAAAGCTGAGAAAAATTGAGAATCCTTTCAGCTCTTTGGCAGGTGGGGAGGGGCCATGCCAGTGGTTGAGTTTGCCCTTGTATTTGGCTCGGACTGGGTCTCTGCCTTGGGGTATTAAAGGAGGGAGTGAGCCCAAAGGGCTGGGCATGTTGGAGGCCACCAGGAGGCATCGGGTGGGCCTGTGAGGGAGAAATGACCTGAGTCTTTTTCCTGTTCATGCCTCTGCTCGGGACAGCCTCATCGTGGGCCCTGAGATGCACCATTGCTATCGAGAGAGGCAGGACCTGCAGGGAACAGCCTGTGCGATGAACGTTTAGCATCTGTCACGTGCAAGGTACGTTTTCTCCGTCACCCCATCCAAGATGTAAGGTGAACTCCAAGTTCTTAAACACCTGGGTTTCCTGAGTGGTGTGTGTTTGTTTTAACTCACAAAGTGAAAACATTGCCCATTCCCACCAAAGAGTCCACTCTCTGGGGCACCGTGGAGCGTTCTCTGCTGTATCCCTCTGACCCCAAGCACAGGCTCAGGGGACACCAGTGGATTAATACATGTGGTTCTTTATGATTAGCTTGGTTTTGGTTCTTAAAGCCCAAAATGCTCTGACCCTACTGGTGTATTTCCTTCTTCTCCACCTACCTGCCATTAGCTCAGTGTCAGTGGGCCCAGATGTTAAGTCAGACCTTAGGGACATTGGCACAAACCTCTCAGAGAAAGCTCCTGACAGGTGAGACGAGGGCAGGGAGTGCTTGGGCGATGGCTTGGTGGACCTCGAAGGGAAGGTGTTGGAGCTCATGGAGAGCAGCGCTGGCGGGGGCGGCAGTCTCTGGTGCGCTGTGGGGAGAGGGAAAGGCGAAGCCAGCTGTCAGCGTCCGCGCATCGGACGGCGCAGCAGAGCCGCGCCCCCGGAAACGACTAGTCTAAAGAGAGACAGGAATCTGAAAGATGGGCTGTACCTAGGAAGCAGTTGTCTGGAACCCCACCTCCCAAGGACTTTCTAGGTGACTTACCACCTTAGAATGCAATTTGAATGCCGCTGTTCTCTGTCATTCTCGATAATACACATTTATCTTACTTCTTTCATTTTTGAAATGTTAACTTGGCAGAAAATTGCCAGTTGGAAACCATATGAATTTCAGAAATGATTCACAAGTTTTGTTGTGTTTTATGGAAGCCAAATTTTGCGCTCATTCTTCTGCCGTTAGCTATCCTTCACCCATATGCATTAGAGGGTATAAACAGAAATTTTTCTGTCAAACTTTATGTGCAATTTTTAATTTTGCTGTGCTATTACTAAGTAATTTGCACTGATACGCATGAATGTACTGGTTCTCTTTGGTAATCAGGCCAAACAATTCCATTTTGTTATAGTTATACAGTATACCAACTGATACATTTCTGTTTAATACTAATTTAACAGATATAATTGACTTTATGGGGTATCTGTACTAAAAAATTTCATTTGAATGCTTGAGCAGAAAAATGGAGGGATGATTTATAAGTTATAAGAGTGCTTTTCTGAACATACCATCATCTTCATCCTGGTAAAGGGAAGGAAAAAGAAAGGTATTAGCCTATCATCAAACACAATTCCTCGATCATGTGAAATGTCTCTGTTTCACTTTAGCAGTGCACGACTCCACAATTAATACACTGTAGGAAGCAGCAGGACTTGCTTAGTGGTCTATGGTTTTTTAATACAAACCAGCACCTGAGGACACTACACCCTGTGTCTCCCTGTATCTTAGCATCAGGTAGGGTCTGACGCATCTGAGAGGCCCGAAGGTACAATAATCACGACACTATCTACTGCATGCAATGATTCATACATGGTGTTTTACGCAATTCCCCTAGCAACCCATCAAGAATTTCACATCCTCATTTACAAATGGAAACATGCCACTCTGGAGGGATGCCTAACTTGCCACGGGTTACAGAACAGGATTCGGCCACTAGTGTGTGTGACCAAAGCTCAGCCTTCTTTTGGGCTCTACTATACAATGGTCGCTCCTGTTAAGAGTAACTCTGTCCTGTTTATAATGTGGCTTACCAGGTACATTGCTCAGCACATTTATGTGCAGAGCAAGCTTGTGAAACATGCAAGGGAGAGGCAGCATGCTCTACTCCTCAAATAAGAAATGATGGAAGAGGCAAAAAACCCATGTTGCCATTGACTAGACCAAAACTGGCGACTTGGACTTGTTCTCTTAGGACAGCACACTGGTGATGAAGGTGCTGTTGTGAACACTAAATTAGTTATTACTTGTGCCTCATGTGTGTGGAGCGCTCAGTGGCGGTTAGCTGTCATCGGTCTACCACTGAGATGAGGCAAGAAGGACCAGAGCCGGAGTTACTCATCCCAGTTGGCCAACAGGGAGACGAGTCGCTCAGGACATTCCTGAGGCTGGGATGCATTGGGCTTTCCTTGGGGTGGCTGCCGTCTGTGTCCTCCCCATCAGTCAACCACCGTCACAGATCTCACCTCTGAGGAGTCACCCGGCCCCTCGACCCCCAAGGACCACTTTCCTCCCTTCTCCTCTGTAACTCATTCCGTGATCACATACTGGTTAGCGCATGGGGTTCCTATCTCCCTCACAGCTTAGCACAGCTTAGAACAAGCACAGCATCTGGCACAGAGCTGTGAAGCACAGGCACTTGGGGGCTGAGCCCTTGAGTGGGGACCGGTGTGTGACGGCCTTCAGGGGGCCTCAAGTGTGGAGGAAGTCAGGCAGCTGTGCGCCTCGCAGTGGGCATCTTTACCCCTTCTGAGTTCAGTTTCCTCTTCGTAAAAGAGAAACTGTGATTCCTCACAGGGCCATTAAATGCAAAGCACATATAAAACTGGGTGACCAGCTTGCCTGGTTTGCCTGAAACTGATGAAATTCTTGGAACTTGAGACTTCCATTGCTATAACTGGGAAAGTCCCAGGCAAATTGCTGGCTGCAAATGTAGCTAGGTTGCTAACGTGCACAGAGTAGGCATTCAGTAAGTGCTGTTCCCACCCCCGTTTCAGGTTATGGAGGTGTTAAAAGGAAAAGAAAGGACTTAGGAACATTGCTGTGAGGCCCAGCCTCTTGGGCACCCTCCTTTTTCTTCCCTCCCCCCAAATGCCCTTCACTCCGCTGTGTGCCACCTGGCAGTGGGACTGCCACTAGCCCAGCCGCCCTGGGGGTTCGCATAGAGACAGGAGCTGCGCACGGCAGCCCGGTGGGCAGGTGGGGCGGGTGGGGGCCCCTCCAGGCACAAGAGTCAGGGGCCCACTGTGGGTAGGCTCTGCCCTGGTGCTGGACTTCAGGGAAGGCAGGGACAAAGGAGCCCCAACCTCCGCGGAGCCCGCAGGGGTTTTCCCTGTGCCAGACAATCACCCGATGATGTTGTGGACTTACATTCTCTCTCCTGTCTGGTCCCCATCCGTGCCTGAAATGAATTAGAGCAAAGAGGAAGCACTGAGCATGATGATTTTCCAAGAGCCGGCCTCAGAATATAGATCGTTTCACTTAATCTAATAATGAGAAATCAAACCCACTGAGCTGTGATAAAAATGAAAAAAAAAAAAAAACAGAAAAGAGGGGCAGAGGCAGGGGAGGGTGGTTTGGTGACTCAGTGTTCTGTCATCGCTGTGAGCTGAGCTGGGCAAACCTTTATTCTGTTTAGCTACTGCAGCAAATAATTACAAATAAAAAAAAGGTTTAGTCAGCAAGCTAACTCTTGAGTAGCTATTAAATTTCATTGAATAGATGTTTTACCCAGCAAATGAGAGCATTTTAGGTCATATTCTCCTTTGCTGATGGTGTTAACAGCACCCTTCGGGCGAAGGGAAGACAGTTGGAAAATGCTGCTGCTTTGGGACTTTCCCCAGATGCACAGCTAGGCGAGCAGATTTGGCGACAGCTGCCGTGGAGCCGGGACAGGAGCCGCGGAGCCTGGGCCTGCATCCTGTTCTTCCAGAGAGCGGGATGCAGCGCGTAGGGGGACGGTGTGTTGAACGGATGCTCCACCTGCCGTCTCACCCTGTGTTTATTTACCATTCTGATATTTTATTCATTATGATCTTTTTTGCATTCACTTGGGTCTTTTAAAATACTGCATTAAAATGCCAACTTGATCACAGAGGTTTTTTGGGGTGCACCCTGGCCCTGGCCAGGACCGAGGCCTCACACTAGCCAAGCCAGGGCCAGAGTTATGACCCCTGACTACTCAGATAAACAGAAGCCCTGGCTTTGTCCTTAGTAAGCAGTGGGCCAGGGCCCGACCCCAAATGCATTTGTGCCATTTGGTAAATAGACCCCAAAAACTTCATAACCAAGTCAGCAATGTTACAGCAGACCTCAGGCTTCTGTGATTGTAACACATGGTTGGCAGTGAGGAAGACACTTTCAGTGACCTACGAACCTTTCCATCTCTGCTATCTGGATGGAAAACTGGCACGCCAGGTCCAGCTCCCATGCCTGGGATGGGAGCAGACACGGCCACCAATTTGATGGGGTGGAGATAAGGTCCCCACAAATGGCAGTTGTGCCCACACTCCCGACAAAGCATCTCTCTACTCCTTCCTGGGCTAGGTTGCCATTTTCTTCAAAGGGACCCTGGGACTTTACATCTGACCTGAGGAGCCTGAACATTCCTCCAGCCATAGCAGCAAGCGAGCCCCTGCTGCACACAGCCACCCAGGATTCCGGTCCCCGTGCACAGCTGCCACTGGGCAGGCTGTTGGGGTCATGCACGCCCAGTGACCAGCTCAAGCAACAGAGGATGCTTACTTTGGCACAGGGGGCTTCTTCACTGTCAGGGGGCTACTTCTGTCGTATCTCTCCGTGGTCGGCGGTAAAGGAGGCTTTTGTATCCTGGGCAAATTCTCCACCAGTGGCCTGCAGAGTTGAGAGGAACCATGTGTGAGATTCAAACCCACGTTCCCCAGGGAGACCATGGCCCCTCCCGCAGCCACAACAGGGCACGTACCTGCCTGGGGTCGAGGGCTGCAAGACAGGAGGGAAGAAATGTGAGTGGCCTCAGCGCTTGTCAAACAATGAAGACAAGACGCAAGACACAACAAAAACAGAAACCAGCACAACAGAAGAGGGAAATAACTTACCTTGTCAGAAAGCACCGGTTTCTTTCCTGTAAACAACAAAGAGCAGATTGGCCTTGAGTTCTGGGCTTGAGCTGCTAAGCATAAGGTATTAAAACATAGTTTGATGCAACAGTGGAGCAAGTCCTGTGGGGGTGCCGACTGGGTTTGAGCCATGAAGAACCATAGACTTTAGACCTGATTTTAGGGGCTCAGAGAGATTAAGTGACTTGCCCAAGGTCACACAGCATTGCGTACATGCAAACAGGGCTCTAGATTCTGTGCTTTTTTCCCACATTTTATTTTAGGTAATGGGTGATAAAAAGGATTGAATGTCTTTTGGTTTTTTCCCTTTTTTTTCATCTCTTTCATCGGTCAAGAGGTTCTTTGTAAAGCCCAAGTTTGTCTTTGTGTCTGAAAAAAAAAGAAACCCATTTGCCATGAGGGGTTGATTTTCTTCTAATCCTTTGATACACTTGACATCATATAAAGTGTTATACTTAGTTTCTGCAAAAATTTTTAACTTGGGGAAGAGGGTTTCAGAAGATCATGTTGGTGGATTGCAAGTCATTTTGTTTTGGCTTTTGTTGGCTGGTCTTCCTTCCATCCTTCTTTCTTCCCTTCCTTCCCTCCTTGCACTTTTCTCATGGAGCAGGTGACGTGCAGGCACCCTGACGAAATGCAAGGTGTGCCTGAGAACTCTGCGTGGCGAAGTTATCAAAGCGGTTTATTCTTTGCTCTGTCTGAAATCCCCTAGAGTAGATGTGCCCAGTGTCTTCAATTAATACAAGTATCACTTAACTAGATTCAAGCAGGTCGAGAAGCAAATCCTGTGTGACCTTGAACAAGTTATTTAAGGTCTTTGAGTCTCAACTTCCTTGCCTGTCAAATGAGGCTTGTGGATTAAAACTGCATAGATTTCTATAAAAATCAGGTAACACTTTATATACAGGGTCAGGCGCTTGATTCACATTAGATAGCTCGTCTTTCTTCCCCTCCATCCCTGCCCCCTGCGCCGTTACCACCCTAAGGGGAAGGAAGACATGATCCACCTGGGGTTGTATTTTTACATGATTTACTTTCTAAAGAACGAATCCACACCAGGCCCGTGATGGAGCCTGAGAATCTTGTCCCGTCATGAAGAACTTACTGCTGCCTAGTGAGAGAGAGTTTGGGCGGCATAAAAAAGTTTAGTATTCATAAAACTTTGGTTTGGGGTGAAAACCCTACTTTAGAGGGATGACCAGAAAACTTAGATTTATATCTTTAGGCCTAAATAGATTTTCTTTTTTAAAAAAATCTACCAATTTATGCATATGCCCTGGGCAAATGAGGAGCCTCCTATTAAGAGACTGAGCTTTGTAGGAGGTTAGTTCTCTCAAAACGTCATGGACCACAGAGTAAATTCTAGGGTAGAGCATGTATTGTCGAGAAGGGGTCACTTCCAAAAGGAAACAAAACTTTTGAAAGGTTAGCTTTTGCTCAGAAGGCGAGTGAAGGATCTGACGTCAGTATCCCACTTTCCTGGAGCTTTGGCTCGCAGTAGTGAGCAGGGCTGGAGTCTGAAGTTGAGCCTCCCTGTTTGCATTTTCCTGCAGTTGGCACAGCCCTCTGCCATGGACCATTCTAAGCTGAGCTGGCAACGCGGCTTTGCACGTGTCAGCAGAGCCGCGAAGCCCTTTCAGGAAAACAGCGGCAGCAGGCTGCAGCCTTGAACCCAGGAACCAACCGTCTTTCTGCCACCAGAAGTGGGGGCTGAGGCCACAGGAGGCTACGACCTTGCTCAGGGCGCAGCTAAGGGACGGCTGGCGGGGGGGCTGGGGTTCCAGGCTCCTTATCCCTCCAGGCTCGGTGCTCCTTCCCCAGAACTCTAGGCCACATGAGGAAAATCGAGGGTCTTCAGTGGCAGGAGGATGTAGTGGGAAAGAGCACCCAACTTGGAAGTCAGAAAGACAAGGTTCCAGATCTTGCACCTAGTTATACAAATTTGGGGAAATTATTCCGCCTCTCTGAGCCTGTTTCACCATCTGCATGGTGGGGATGACAGCACGCCCCATTGTTCGGTCGGCGTGGGGATTGGCGATGATGTAGGCAATTATGATAGGTGACGCACTGGTCCCATTGTAGGTGCTCAACAAATGGTAGCCACGTTTTAGAACTGAATCAAAAATAGCTTCATATGGAGGTGGCTGCAATCCAAGAAAACCCTGGGTCAGTTCTGTGGGAAAAGGGCTGTCAGATACCCACTGCTTGGTCAACTGCACACATACAACAAAAAAATAACCCTGCAGTTTGAATAGCACATTAGAGTTTTATAAAGCATTTTCTCCTTACAGAATACCCACCTTACAAATAAAGGGATAGCTCTGTAAAAGCAAGGTCCTTCTAGTCAGTGAGCTGCTAAATGCAACCAGGGTGGCTGATGACAGGTCTCCCAGGCCTCTTGTCTCTCAGCCCGGCCCCTGCCTCGATACCCCAGTGCCACCCGCATCATCATCGGAGGAACAGTGAGATGAGTGTGCACAAATGTCCCATGGAGACGCAGGTCCAGCACAAGGCTAAGGGCAGGGGCTCTGCATCAGGCTGCCCTGGTTTTGGTCTCTCCTTGGTAGCTGTGTGATCTTAGGAAGTTCCCTCTTTGTGCCTGAAAATAGCCTCAGCTTCCTCATCTGTAAAATGAGGATGTTTCTAATAGCCCCCACTTCACAGTGCTGTGGTCTTAGTTCAGTGAGATGCTGTGTGTGAAAAGCATGCAGTAAGCACTCTTATAAATGCTCACCGTTATCATCATGCATCAACCATGAATGATACCAACCTAGCGGGAAGGGCTCTCTGTCAAAAGGCGCTAATGAACGATCGAGGGGAGGCTTCTTGCTTCTGTCTATGGAAGGAGCAGGGACTGGAAGGGAAGAGACTGAAGTCAATTACAAGAAGTACAGGGTTGGCTGGAGCTGGGGCTCAGTGGGCGAGAGAGAGCGGTACTTACGCTTGGCTGTTTTGTGGGCTCTGCTTCTGCCAGGCTCTTCGTGGTTGGGCTGGGGTGGGGGGAGGGGCTGCTTGAAGAAAAAAAAATCCAGATGGTGGGAAATATTTCCAACACATCAACATGTCCTGGTCGCTTTGTCTCCCCAAATATGTCTGAACCTGTTCACTTTTCTCCACGTCCATGCTCACCCACAAATACAGATCCTCAGGTCCTGCCTGAACAGTGCCTGCTCTCTGAGCCCATCCTGCCCTGTCTCAGCCTAGGCGATGATGGCTCTATGGCAGTGGAGTGGGCATGCTGCTCCTGTGACAAGCCCCTGGGTGGCTCATGTCACACTAGGAACACAGTAAAAACTCGCCGTGGCCTGCCAGGCTCTGCCTGAGCCGGCGCCTGCCCCTCCACTCCCTTCCCCACTCCCTCCCCAGGGCCCACGGGCTCCCCGGCACGTGTCTTCTCGCTCACACTGACGCCCTCTTTGGCATCTCTGCGCTTGTGCTTCCCTCTGCCCGGACTGTTCTTTCCAGCTCTTGGCATGACCAGCTCACCCTGTCCAGTTCAGTATCACCTCGCCACCTGTCACCACGTCCCTAGGTCTCCTGTCTCCCTAACCACACCTTACGACTCAAATGATCTTGTTTCTACATCTGCTTACTTTATTATTTGTGCCCCTCTGATCAAATCGAAACTTCATGAGAGCAGGGAGCTTATTTGTCTTTTCACGCTCTAGTCTCAGCAGCTAGGACGCTGCTGGGCACACAGGAGCTGCTCAGTAAGATCTGCTGATTGAGTGAGTGAATTCTGCATCCCAACAGTGGATGTTATGGCCCCAACCAGCGTGCCTCAGGGGATTGGGCATCATCCTGCAAAGCAAGGGGCTGCCAGTTCCCTTTCTGGTCAGGGCACATGCCTGGGTTGCAGGCCAGGTTCCGTAACCCGTTGGGGCGTGAGTGAGGCATCTGATCAATGTTTTCCTCACACATCCATGTTTTTCTCCCTCTCACTCTCTCTAAAAAACTAAATAAAATCGTTTTAAAAAATAGTGGTAATTACAGCCTTCAGATTTCAAAAGCAAAATGCACTTGTGGTAAGTTCAGCCCTGGTCAGCCTCCTTTGCCAGGAAAACAGCACAGGCAGGAGGGAGCCAGCCATTCCTGGCGGTGAGGTCCCCACTGTGGAGTGGTCCAGGTTTTGAGCTTTGGGGACAATATATCCTCTCCTTCCTTCTAGCCCTGGCACTTCCAACGTTTGCCATAGCTGTTAGCGTGCTCAGGTCCCTCGTGAAGAGAACACATTTCCAGGTACTGAGTCCTTATCCTGAACTTCTCAGGATCTCTCTGTGTAATTGATTAGACCCCCAGGACCTGGGACTATGAGCTTGGAGAAAGAGGACAGGGCGTTGCTGCCTCTCTCTTCCGGAGTTCACTGCATCATAAACCTAGTAGTCTCTGGGATAGTTGCCCATTGAATTTCTGGCATTTCTGACCTGCAGGTGGTGCGAGATGTTTTTGCAGCGAGAGAAGGTGACTTGGGACTCTTGGAACACCCGTAGGTGCCATCAACTTAACTCAGTTTTCTTAGAGTATATTTTACAGTTTTCACTTATTTCAAAAGTGGGAGGCAATTGCACAATGCATATAAGGAGAGTTCTTATTATACAGTTAGTTTATACTGTTTATGGTAAAAAGAAAATACTGATAAGCCTTATGACACGAATAAAAATCACTAGTATGTCATCCCCCCCCCAAAAAAAAAATCCCCCACAACACTGTGAGTGCTTGGATGTGCATTTTCCTGGCCTGCGTATAATCGCATCTGACTGGTTAGGATAGGAGAACGTTTATCGTCCTCTTTCTCTCTGGCGGAGGAAATGGTTGGAGGGGACACAAAGTGCCAGGAAAGCGCGAGGAGGCCTACCGTGTGGCTGCGGCTGGCAGGCGGGGGAGGGAGGGCGGCCGTCGGTCTCTGGGGGGGCACCGGTGGCTGCTGCGGGCATTTCCCAGAGAGGGGCCGATCTGCGAAGCACAAGCACGTTAAAATGAAAGGAGAAACGCTGGGCCAGGCTGAGTGCGGGCCACGCTCAGGGTCTCCCAGGGATAGATCCCGCACCCAGTGCTGCGCTTCTTGGGGCTCCAGGGCCCTGGACCCTACAGGCTCCCGCCAGCACCAACGCCAGCACCGGTGGTGGCAGGGGTTTGTCTGCGCCCGGTGACAAGTGGTGGGCAGCCAGAGACGCGCACACACAGGCACACCCAGCTGCCCGGTAGAGTGAGGTTGGCGCTCATGGCTCACGCAGACCCTGTACTGGGTCCCCTCCCTTCCCCTCACCAATGCTCTGGGCAGCTCTGCATCCTCCGACTTCCTCCTTTTGCTCATCTCTGCCCTGAAAGGGAGGAGCCGGCCACTAGCTCCTGTTACCTAATCACAGTCTCGTAACTGGTTGACTGTGCTTTGCCCTGGACAGCAGCTCCCATTTTTCTGATCACTATAGAAGTATCCCTGAGCCAGGTTTACAGGCTGGCAATGTCCCCAACCCTTCAACAGGGAAAGGCCAGGCTGGGACTGCAGTGCTGAGTGGCAGCCTCCTTACATTTTGTGCCCCGGGTGCCTATCTTAAGTCCCTTGCCCTCATCCCGGCCCTGGAGAGGTGTTACCCGGCCCTGGAGAATGGGCTTAGAACTAGGGTGCGCCGAGTCTAATCTCACGCCGCTCCACCCACGCTGGCCACCTCTCGGGCCTTCTGCGGCGCCATGCTCCCGCGGACCGCAGGACCTTGGCGTGGCCATTCCTGCTGCTTAGCATGCGCTTCCTTTCCCACACCTGCCCTCGCGCAGCCTCACCCCTGCTCATCCTTTAACTTTCAGCTTAAATATCACAGCCTCAGGGAGTCCAACCCAGGCTGGGCACACCCCCAGCCTCATCTCCCACACTCGTCTTCCTGAGTATGTATGATGTTTTAATTAACCATTTCGTGACTCATTCATTTGCTGTTGCCTCACCCACTGGGCTATGAATTCTTAATGGTGAAGAGTGTCTCATTCACTCTGTATCTTCATAACTGATACATATGAGGTACTCAATAATTTATTTATTTCTCCTCTGGGCCTCTGTCTCCCTGTATGTAAAAAAGGCCTTGATAATTGTTGCCCTTATCACACAGAGTGCTTAAAAACACAAAGTGTCAACATAGAGTTGATGGAAGGGCTTTAAGGTTGCCAAGTGTCGTATAGCTAAAGGATTAGTGGCATTAATTTTTTGTGATACTGACCATCAGCTCTCTAGCATACTCCTTGATACGCTGTTACGCCAGTGTGTGTGCGCGTTGCCTGTCACCAGCCTGCCAGGACGCAGGCTCCGTGAGGCCAGGGCTGTGTCTTTCCTGATCACTCCGACTCTCAGCCCTTAGGGTGATGTCAGTGCCCCCCATCCTGGTCCTCACTGGCTCCTAGTAGGTCAGTGGGTTTTGGTGGATGAATGAGTGAATGAATAAATGAATGAGGGAGAAATAGGCTGACAGAAACAGAGAGACAGTGATGATCTAAAATACTGTTTGAAATAATTTAAAGTTATCGTCAAACCCCACTCAGTATGGTGTGTTTATTCTGACAGTGTGTGGGTCGTTGTGGCACCTAACCACAAGTTGATCAAAACATGGGGAGAAACAGGAAAGTACTCTTGAGAATCTAAGTGACACACAGAATGAATTATTACTGCCAAACAACCTCCAGTGACAGTTCAGCGCTGATAATCAGCCATCACAGGCAACAGTTTGTGAATAATGTTCATTTTTCTTCGCAGCAAACCTGTGTAATCTATATTATTATTATTATCATCATCCTATTTCACAGATGAGGAAATTGAGGCCCAGAGAGGTGGAGTCACTTGCCCAAAGCTGGCATCAGCACGTAGGGCTCTCTGTTACGTGGACATCACCCTCCCGCGCATCCATGGGGACTGGGAGCCAGGGGCGGGGCTGCCAGAGGCCTTACCAATGTACATGGAGTTGGAGTTGGAGAACGGCTTGGCAGGCAGGATGGAGTTCTGCAGGGCTTCCTCGTCATTGGAGGGTGGGGGCTCGTAATCGGCGTCGTCTTCTATGGGCGCCCCTTCCTCCTCGTTGGGGGACTCATAGTCACCATCATCCTCAGCATCCTGATCCTCATTGGGACTCTCATAGTCATCATCTTCCTGCCAACACCGTGACAAGGACAGTGCAGTTGGTAGAGAGTCTCCTTGGCACTCAACGTGCCTGTGTCCACTCTGTCTCTGCCGAGCTTCACAGGGGCACTCGCGTGAGGACAGGCAGCATGAGGTGGGCACCCCCGTGTCACGGAGGAGAGCACTGGGGTTGGGGCGTGCACTGTCACAGGGCCAGCGCATCGTGGGCTCGGGACCCCCATCGCCAGGCCGGTGCATTTTCCTCTGCACCATTTAGCGCAGCCGAGAAAAGCAGGAGGAAGAGGAAGACACTGGACCAGAGGTGCGGGGGACCTGGCTTTGTTACAGGTGAACACATTTCCTACTTAGGCATCACCAACAGGCAGACTAAGTGCCTGGAGCATTTGTGATGCCCCAAGTTCATTGTCAGTGCTTAGTGTGTCTGTGCTCAAAAAATGGCTTTTGAGTACAACCCAGTGCAGCACTGAAAGCCACGCTAATGGGAGAGCCGATAACCAAGCCTGTTCGTTAGTTAGAAGGCAGGCGGAGTCTGTCTGAGAGGGGACCGTCATGCTGTGCTCTTCTTTTTGGCTGAGAGCTAAGTATGTAGGAACAACAGCGCATTATTCACGACCTCTGATGCTGAGTTTGAAGCTGCTCCCTTGGAAAGACGCCGTTTCTACATTGTACATTTTTTATTGTATTTAACATGTGCTGCTCTGTGGCTCTCAGGAGAGTGGGCCCTAGGGGCCGAGCGATCGCCCCTGAGGCAGTCCGTGAGCGGACAGGCGCGGGAGTGGTGTCCCGCGCAGAGGGCGCGCCGTCAGCACCCCCGTGGCCTGCCGCTCTCATGCCAGAGTCAAGGGTGGTAAACAAGCCCAGGGCATTTCCCTAAAGCTAAGGGCGGTATGCAGAGAAGCAATGGGAGGCTGCCGCGTGGTGAGGGAAGATGCGTAGTGACGATCTAGAAGTCCTGACAGCCGTGCTCAGTGGCTTAGGGAAGACTCAGGTGTTCAGTGGGAAGATTCCTGTGTGACTTTCTGACTTGAGTGTTTAAAATACATATGTTGGAAGGCAGAGCGAGGGCTGAGTGTCTTGCCGAGCTCTGAAGGAGGGCTGTCCTGTCATCAGTGACTCTGTGTCTTAAAGATCGGTGGCGGGGGGGGGGGTGGTAAGAGCGATGGCAACTGTGACAAACAGGACTTCAGGCCAGTGGTGTCAGGCCCTCCCCAGCCTGGCCGGCCATCCCCTAGCCTGACAGGGCATCCCCAGCGGCCCTCTGCCTGCCCACTCCAGGCTCGTCGGTCCTCCCTCCCTGCCAGGCCTGTACCCCACACCCTTTCTCAGCAATGGACTTTTCCACTTCTAGAGCAGTTCTTTAGGAGCCAGTGATTTGGCTTAATCGGATTCTGCTATGTATGTGTGTTATCCATGCTGCTCACATGCTGGGTTCTTTATCTCCACCCCGCCTCCATAGCGCCCAGTGGGTGCTGGGCAGCCGCAGAACTTGCGTTTTACAGCCGGCCGCTAACGGGAACCTGCTGTGTGTACAGGGCACTGGAGAGACCAGCGTCAGGCTGAGCCCTGCACAGAAGGGACTTCGTGGCAGGCAGCGGCAAAAATCCGTAAACATCCGTGGAGGGGGGCTCTGGTCTCTTCCCTTTTGTACAAAACAAATCTGTCATGTTCTTTGTGTTCAGGCAGAAAGCACAGACGTAGCTGGCATGTTTTACGAATTCAGTGCTTGCTTCTGCCAGAATCCCAATGGGACAAGATTTTCATTCCTGTTCCTAAAGGCACCAGAGATGGTCACTTACCAGAAAGACCACTGGCCCAAGGGTCGGGCCACCCGGGCGTAGGCCAGTCTCTAACTAGGTGAGTGGCTCTACCAGAGTCAGGCTCTCCAGTGGGATCAGCGGCTTCTGCTGTAAAATCAGCAGATGGGCTCCGATCCACTGCTGAGCCTGAGCCTGGCTCTAGCTTCGTGTGCAGGGACTGTTTATGTGGTCAGAGGGGGTGAGGATGTGCAGAGCTCATTAGAATCTCAAAGGGGTCGCTGTGCCTCCTCAGATATAAGCCTGAGCTGCGTGAGACCTTCCCTGATGTCTTTGCAGAGCTAAAGCTTGATCCTGAAATCCCCTTCCTACTCTGTGACCAGTGGGGACTTGGGTGCAGGAGCAAAACTACTGTAAAGCTACTTGAACGTAGGGGAGGGGCTGCGGAAAAGCCCTGCCCGTTCAGCAGCTTACAGTGCGGTCTGCAAACTGCGGCCCGTGGGCCACGTCTGGCCTAGCCTCTGTGTGTGTGTGAGAGAGGGCTGGTTGGCACGCCACCAAGCCCGTTCCTTGAGGCCTCCCTACAGCTGTGTTTGTGTCACCAGGGCTAGGGTGAGCAGATGGGACCGAGACCACATGGTTGGTGAAGCCAGGAATGTCTGTGACTTGGTCTTCGCGCACACATTTTCTGACCCGCGGGTCGCTGTGCTGGCGTCCTGCGGGAGGCCTGGCTCCTCCTACAAAGGCCCTGACTGCAAAGGCCCAGCCATACTCACAAAGGACGACCAGCCCCCGTTGTCTTCCTCGTGGCTTTCTGTGGAAGAAGACACCACCACCATTAGCACCAAAGAAGCCACTAGAAAGAAAGCGAAAGTAGCTCTCTTCCCCAACCTGGGGCCTCCCACGTCCCTGCTGTGTCCCAGGCCTCTGTCCTTCCTTCTACGCTCCCAAGTACCACCCTGGAGTGCTTGCCTGAGGGGCTCATGCTACCGGGGGGTACCAGGGGGAGCTCAGCCTTTCCCATGAATAAAAATGTCCAAGAATGCTTGAAAGGATGTGCAACATAGCAGTTGAAAACTGCTTTAAAGACTCAGAAGCCTGGGGCTGGCTCCACCCAAGGTGGTCAGCCAAAGCCTGGGTTTTTCCATACTAACCCCCCGACCCCCACCCTGCTACAGATTTCTCACTGTGTCCCTGCGGAGGGTCCCAGCTAAGCAGGGGCCGTATGCCAATGGCCCTGCATAATGACACCTCTCCTCCCCTCAGCCCGAACCCAAACCCTTTTATGGGTTAGAACTAGCTGACAGACAAATGAATCTGCATGCCACTCAAGGAGCCCTAGGAACCAGGAGACAGACCGAAGTGCCTGTCACCTCCTAAAGCCACCTTTGCCCCGCGCCCCAGATGTTTACCTATTTCTTCAGGAAACCGCTGGACCTGGGGCCTGCAAAGGCAAACAGCAGCGCATTAATGGCCATGCTGCCTTAAGGGAGCTCCCGCTTTCCTCAATCCAGCCCTGCCAGAGCGTCCCCAGTGGCAAGTACATCTCACCACCCGGGACTGGTGTCCTTGTTGCTTGGCAACCAGGGCCAGACGGCCCCCAAATTCTAGGAACCACCAAAGCCACAGTGGTGGTGCCACTGGCAGCTCGTGACTGCCTGACTGTTGAGGGGAAGTTCCCGTGACGTCCCAGACCCAGGGGCAGGGTGCAGGGCACGGAGAGGGAACACCCTCCCCTCGTGGGACTGAAGCAACACGGATGAAAAGTGGACAAAAGCAGTTCTGTGCGTGCCATATAAGCTCCGCCTTGGGTTTGGACATTCTTCTTGGGTCACTTCAGCACCCTGGGCCCACTCACTTGCGTGGTGCGAAAATGCTCCTCCTCTCTTCATTCTTGTTGATTTCTTGACTTAACTTACTGAGAATCCTACAAGATAAAGGGACAGAGGAGGTGACAACCATGAGACCCCAACCTTCCTACGGAGACCTGATGTTCCTTGACCCATGTGACCTCAGGCACCTGGGCCAACCTCCGCCGGCCTTCTCTCTGGCCCCCCAGTCAGTGCCCCCCGGTGGGCCCTCTGCTGCTCCTTTCCTCAGAGCTCGTCACTGTCATCCCCCAGCCAGCACTTGCTCCTGGCCAGGAAGCCCTCTGTGTCTTACTCGGCCCGCTCAGCGGAGCCCGGAGCCCCCGATGAAGACTTGTCCACTCCCATCTGGCTCCCCCTCCTCTGGAGACCTGCAGCCGTGTCACCGGGGAGGGGGCAACCGCGGTGTGTTTCACCGCATCAGTCTTCCTGAGGCTGACGTGCCCTGAGCCTTGGTTTGGTGCCCCGGGGTGATGTCTGGCTTCTGGGAATCCTCATATCATCTCTAGGAATCAGCTGTTCTTTGTATCACTCGACAAGAATTCCAGGGGCTCTTCTTAGCCTATATCTCCTTCCATTGTCCCCTCCCTCAGTGACGCAGATTCTTATAGAAGATTGAAGAAGTAGTTCCAATCACAGAACAGCCTGCAGAGTGGGAGACCCCTTCCGTTGGCCAGGGCCCTTGGAGATACTTCTAGGCCCTGGGTGCTGAGAAGAGGCAAATCCCCAAATGCCAGGATAGGAGGGCCTTCTGCAGCAGGGTGGCACCACAGGGAGGCCCCAGCGATAGGCGTCCGTTCCTCAGGTCTCTTGGACCTTCAGGGCCCGAGAGCCCCAGCCTCCCTTAGGAACCCCTGCCGAGACCAAGGACGTAACAGCAGGAAGGAGCCTGGAAGATGATCCGGTCTAATGTCATCTTACAGATGGCCCAAACGAAGGAAGGGACAGGCCCACCTGTGGGCGAGTGACAAAGGCCGCCCCTCTCCCCCACCCCACAGCACAGAAGCCGGGCTTCCCGGTGTCGCAGCGTCCAGTGCAGCGTGCTTTCACCGCACCGCATCCTGTGTTCTCGCCCCTGAGCAGTGGAACCTACAGAGAGCCTGTGGCCCATCTGAAAATGACCCAGGAACCACATTCCTTCTGTTGAGTGGCTGCCTCAAGGTGTCAAGTTCGGCCTAAGACAGAATCTCTAACTGTGCACAAGCAGTCCTTAGCACCGGCCACTTCTGAGTCCTTTACAGCCACAGCCCTCCCAGACTGCCAGGCACAGCTGCCTCTCCAGGCTCCCAGGGGGATTCTGCTCTAAGCCCTCCCCTGTCATTAGAATGACAGCTACAAAAGGGCGCGGGGGGGGGGTGACGAAGAGAACGGAAGGAAAGAAGGCGATGTTTAATCCTCTGTCACACTGTCATTGTTGGAATTTCACATTTCACTGACTGCCCAGGGAGACGGCGCTTTAAGCATGCTGGGCCTTCCCAGGGGCCTGCTGACAGGTGTCGCCTGTGACAGGGTCCTTTTGTTCCTGTAAATGACTGTTCTGAGAAGCCAAGGGAGTCCCTTTCCTCCCTCCCGGGCGTGAGGGGTGGAAGGACTTCTCCAGAGCCAGCAGGGGACCCCTGCGGTCATCCTGCTTCCTGGCCATGTCAGGAGGTGGCAGCTGCTGCTGCTCCCTTTCCATCCCCCCTTAATTCAGCAAAGCGCAGTCCCTTCTCAGTGCTGGGAACTCGAGATGCCTCCAAACGCAAAACCAAGATCCCTGCTCTCAAGGAGCTTACCCACTAGTTAAGAGACACAGGCAATAAAGAATGCACATTTAAGGAAGTGAAATTCTAGATAAGAACAGTGTATATTAACACAGTGTGGGGGGTGCTGTGTGGCTGGGTGAGGGGATGGAGTACGGGGGTGTGGTTGCAATGGAAAATGAGCTGGCCTCCCTGCTGAGAGAGCATTTCTATGGGGACCCGACAAAGGTGGGGCTGGGCCACACCTCGCTGCCAGCCCGAGGGGCCCTGACTGGCTCCTGGAGCTCTTTGATCCTGGAAGGACCTCCAGCTCTCCAGTGTCTGTCGCTTCTTACCAGCAGTATCTTTAGCAGCCAGGCTGGAGGCGAAGGAAGGAAATGCCAAACCGCAGCCCCCAGCAGAGAAGCAGAGGGGCTGAGAGAGCGGAGCCGGGCCTGCCGCTGTGGTTCACGGCACAGCTCCGGCTCCCAGGGTCTGCCTCCTCCCACGGGCCTCATAGGGCACCTTCCCAGCCAGTTGGGACCTGGCTGGGCAGCGAGTGAACCGGGTGGCCAAGCTGGAGGGCAAGGTGAGAAGGCAGTGGCTACCTCTGTGTGCAGAGTTGCCCCCACTCCCACACCCAGGAGGACCAAGTGACAGTGAGTGCCCGGAGGTGACTCATTGCTCTTCCTCCCCACAAACCTCAGGCCTCACTCCGAACCAGGGAGGGTGGGGGAGGGGGGCTGGGCAGCTGGTAGACACAGGTCTCTACTTTGCCTAGTTTTAGGGATAAACTGTTCATGAAGAGGGGCCGAACCCTCCAACAGGAAGTTAGGCCATTGCCACCAGGTGGAACCCTGCCATGACCTGGGTTCCCGCCCGGCTGCGCCCCCAGCTCCCCGCGCATGTGGGGCCCATGTGGCTTTTCAGGCAAAGGCCTCTCCTGGTGAGGTTACAAACACAGAGGCTGGGACCGCGCCCAGGGTCTGGCTGCAGCGGCCTGCCCCAGGGCAGGACCCACCCTGTGACCTCAGGCAAAGCGTCAGCCCTCCCTCCAGATTTAAATATAAAACTTACAGGTTTTAAAAATAACGGCAGACTTTACCCCGGACTCTACCCTACCGATAAACTCAGCTCCTGCTCAGCTGTGCGTTGGTTTTGAGCTAGGCCCTCTCCAAGGGGGCTCTGTTTTCCTACTTAAAAACTGTCCCCCGTTACAGAACTCGGGGAGTCTCTGGGAGAAAAGACATCCTGAGCAGCTGACTACGTGGGCAGGCAGAGACAGCCCTTGTCGCCAGAGTCCACATTCTAACACAACCTGTTTAATTGAATACTGATTTTTTTAAATCATGGCGGAAGGAAGTAGAGAGATTCAGAGGATTGTGATCTTGTTTTGGTCGGCTGCACATAAATATAATTTCCTCTCCAAAGCCCTTCAGCGTAATGATCAGAGAAAACGAACCTACATACAAGGGACTGGAATGAGTAAGCACTGACTATCGATATGTGTCAAGGACGGTACCCGGCAATGTGTGTGGGCTGCCTCCTTGAAAATCCACCGCTCCCCGAGAGAGTTCTTTTCCCCTGTATCGATGAGGAGACCGAGGCCCAGAGGGTGTAGGTGGCTGCCCCTACATGCCACCACTGGGAGGAGGCAGGGCCGGCTTTTGGGCCTGGGTCTCCCCTCCCCCAGAGCTCATGCCCTTCTATTCTTTCATCCTCCCCCTTTACCAGGATAGAATAATTAGTAAAAATTTGATATTGTGCTCACTGGGATTTTGCATAAAATAGTAAGTATAGCTTATGCTTTTTCCGCGAGTTTTATTATTTCTCCATCAGTTCTTCTGACTTTCCCACTGATCCTTTGAGGTGGGTTTTCTCCACTCTTTTCTCTCCTCTGGACTTTAATTCCACATGTATGAGGCTGCCGGAAGTTTCCTACAGTTCCCTGGTGCTCCTTTCAGTGTTTGTTTTAATTCTCCCGTGTGTTTCATTTTGGATAGTTTCTATTGCTGTGTCTTTGCATTTATGAATATTTTCTTCTGCAATGTCTAATCTGCTGTTAATCCCAGGCAGTGCATTTTTTATTCCAGACATTAGAGTTTTTCTCTCTAGAAGTCCTACTTGGGTCTTTCGGTATTTTTCATGCCTCAGCTTCGCTTTTTGAACATACGGAGCACACTGGTATCACTCCGGCTACTACTGCTGCTGCCTGTGTCATTACGGGTCAGTTTTGGTGCCTTGGTTTTTCTCCTTGTTATAGGTCATACTTTTCTGCTTATTTGTATACCTTTTCCTCTCTGATTTGATGCTTGACATTGTGAGTGGTACTTGGCCAGGTGATGGATGTTTTTGCATTCCTGAGCTTTGTTTTGGGTTGCAGTTAAGGTACTTGGAGACAGCGTTTTTTTCTTCTTTTTTTTTTTTTTTCTTTTTTTTCCTTTTCCAGTCTTGCTCTTAAGATTTGCTAGGTAGGGACCGGCATTTTTCTAGGCTAGGGCCCATTGCTGCCCGCTACCAAGGCAGGGTCTCTCTGTGCACTGTATACAGGCACTATGAATCTGCAGCGTTTCCAGTCTGCCTGGTAGAAACAGGCGCCGTTTCCTGCCCTGTGGCTGCATGCCATCCCCTCCAGTGCTGGGCGGTCCTTTCAGGTGGTCTCCTCACCTTTCCGCCCCCATCACAAGCCCGCTGGACAGGGCCCGTGTGGCTCTCCAGGACAGTCCCTCTGCAGCTCCCTTTTCTCCGATACCTGTCCAGGGAACTCTAGACTTAGCGACCCTCCACCATGTCCCCTTAACTCAAGTTCACCAGACTCCACCAGGCACCCTGCTCTCTGGGCCTTGGCCTAGAGACCCTCTCCGAGCGGCGAGCGGTCACAAAGATCACCACGTTGTCTTCCTTCTCTCCTCATCTGGTATCCAATGTCTTGAAAACTGCTACTTTGTATTTTTTGCCTGGTTATTTGGTTATTTCTGGCTGGAGGGTAAATCTGGTCTCTTCTTGTTGAGCAGAAAGCCAGGGTCTCCACTCACATGATGATGGAAGAGGTTCCAGCATGCGCGGGGTGGGGGGCGGCGTGGTGAACTGGGCAGCACAAGCTCCGTCCAGATAGAGCAGTAGACACTCGGGTCCACCTGACTGTGTCCCCACAGTGTTCTGTGGGCTCTGGGTTACCCACTTTGCCATTTGTTTCAGGAGAAGCTGGGTTTTGTGAAATATTCTTTGATTTGAAAGCAGTGGGGGGTCAAACTGAGGAGGGCTGCAGGCCGGCTTTCGCCCGCCAGCTTCCTGTTCTGACCCCTGTGTGTTAAGTTCTCTTCTTTACACAGAACTATGGCATTTTTTCCTAGAGCAGCACATCTCTGCAAACGTAGAAACATTCCATGTCTGGACCCTCCAATATGGCAGTCAGCGGTTCTGTGTCGCTATCAGCTTTTGAAATGTGGCTAGTCTCTGGGGAACGGAATGTTTCACTTAGTTTAAATTTACATAGCCATAGGTAGTCAGAGAAAACCCTTGGGAAGAACAAACATTCTTTAACCGCAGCTGCCCCTGGAGATAAGTGCGCCAAAAGCAAATCTTTATCCTTTTTTTGCCCCCCCTCTGTTCACCCTTTCGGTTGAGGAAAACCTGAGAACCCTACTTTCCGTATTTCCTTCTCTAGTGGCCCTCCTTACTCAGAGAACCCCAGGCCGCGGCCTCCATCGGCCTGCTTCCCTATTACTATTCTGAGCTCTGAGGCCCGCGGAGCAAGAGAAAAGGCCTCAGAGAGTGTCCAGAGCACAGGTCTGAAAGGGGGCCTCCCAGACGAAATCTAGCTCATAGATAGATTCACTCGGGCTTCCACAGTATTTACCAGCATCTGAGCCAACATTTGAAAATTGAGGTACGTCACATAAAACCAACATATCTAGCCACTCTTGTTAAATTCAAAGACACAGCATCTTTGTGCCCACATCGACGAACTGAGTAGCTGCTGCTCTTTGTGGGTGGAGAACGTAATTCCGATGTGCCACAATCTCCATCACTCCCTATTGCTCATTGGCAATAAGGCTTTGTGTTCATCACCTCTTTAATCATTCTAATTGTGCTGCTGTTTTTCTTACCGTGGAGAAATATTTCTCCACACCCATGTTTTAGTCCACGGTGGTAAAATGAAAGAAAAACAATCAGTAGGGCTTTGCGTTTTTCAACCTGACCCACTTGGCACCCTTACATCACCTGCCTGGCTCCCAGGCGCATCTGAAGATGTGGGACCTTTACTAGAGGGTGGGAAACACGTGGCACGCTCGGCGTGCCGGACCTCCCAGCTCCGCGCCCGTGCCGGGCTTTGGTGACGGCTCGCGCCCCTGGCAGCCTGCCAGGCAGGCGGCACTGACGGGCACGGCCATGGGCCTCGTCATCCCTCGCGGCCCGGCTCCTCATTGTACTGAGCTTGAGACCCAAGCAATCGCCAGGTCAGTGATGGCACCACAAGGAAACCTCAGGTCGCTTGACTCTGGAAGTATTTCCACAGGCCCCAGCCACCCCGCTGGGGAGGGAGGAAATGAAAATTTGGTTCAGAGTTGGGCTTGTCTTAGGCCAGAGCAGACGGCACACCAGCTGCGCTGGATCTGTAACTTCCTTTTCCCAGCTCATCATGAAACTTCTCTTCCCCACACACTGCATGCACTTGACTTCACTCTTCCTGCTCTTTTCTGTTTCAAACCAACACTGATCACTGACTCAGCTCCCCATCCCAACTCCTGTTCCCCAAACCACCCAAGGAGTCGGGGGGAGTACTTACGGCACCCGGAGCTTAGGGAACTTCTGGATGTCGTTTTCTGTCAGGTTCTGAAAGGAAGACACCGGCAGGTTACAACCCACGGGCAGGGCTCTGGGCCAGGGGAGTAGAGTCAGGTGTGAGACAATAGGGAGTGCTGGGAACTGCGGCACACAGAAGAGTGCCCCTGCCCACGCACACAACACGGGCAGCTTCTAAATGTATAAAAGCCTGGGGGGCCTGGTGTTGCCAGATCTATTTTTTCAAAGGGAATACCAACATGCATATTTTAGGTGAAGTTTCCTGAGTTCTAGATTTGACAAATAATTTTAACTTAAACAATGGGAGAGCTAAACAATTTATTTTGTGAGAAACAAAGAAGGAAAGAATATTTGCGAAGAACTGACTCTGGGCCTCTGCCGTACAGCACCTTGGTTAATCTTCACACCAACCCTGGGATGTAGGAGCTGCCAACATTCCCATTTAATAGATGGCAAAGCTGAGGCTTGGGATGCGAAGGGGATTTCAGCTTGTAGGTGACAGAGCTGCGGCTGGACCTTGCTCTGTGGCACCTGCGGTCAATTTTCGTCCTGTCAGCTTCCTTCCTCCTGTGTCTGAGCCCTTTGAGGGTCTGGGTGGTGGGGGAGGGGGGAGGTGGAGGAGAGGCGGGGCTGTCAAAATTGGAAACAGAAGAGGTGGGCCCACTTCCTGTAGAACCAATGCCCAGCCAAAGAAGAGGCCCCATGCACGTTCTGAGGCCAGAGGCCGGGTGGGAGCTCTGGGGTCACACAAGCTGGTTTGAATCTTGCTTCATTCACTTAGTAAGTATCTGATTTGGGGCACACACTCAGCATCTCTGAGCTTCAATTTCCTTATCTGGAAAATGGGAATCATTTCAATAATGCCACCTTTCAGGGGTCTTGAGGACTAAATGAGATGATATGTATCATATCTTTGACACCATGTTGGACACATCACACATAAGTGAGAAATGGAGGAGTTAGATGAGTAATTCTACCCCCAGGGGAGGGAGCAGCTGGGGTCCGGAGGCTCTCTGAGGTCAGTGTCTTTGGTTTTCCGCCCCCTGGGCTGGGAGATACCGGGAGGGTTGGTTGCTGCCCACTGAGAGGGTTGGCGCGCTGCCCTTTGAGCCCAGCTGGCCCAGGAACTGGGGCATCGTAGCGGTGCACGCACCGGACTCACCTGCTCCAGCTCTCAGGGGCAGCGACCGACCCAGTGCCCTCCTCAGACCCTGCAGCGGGGCTGGGCAGGCGTCTGCCGAGAGTCCCGAGAAAATCAGGCTTTTGGTCAAGCTTCTAGACTTCCTTTTCTTTTTTTTTCAATATCATTGAGCAGTGGTGTCTCCTCCCTCCAAAACCACCCCCTCCTGGGGATGCCCTGAGACTCCTTTTCAGCGGGGGCAGGAGAAGTGGAGGGCTCCTGGGGGCGCCAGACGGACGAGAGCTCGGGGCAGGGCGGCTGGCTATCGCCTTTGGTTTTGCTGAGTCAGGGGCATAAATGAGGGAGTTTCGGGAAGAGAGTGAAGGAGAAGGTGACCGTGACCATGGCTGGAGACACAGAGCAGCAGGAGTTTAGGGAAGAGCAAGCCCTTCAGAACAGGGACAGGGACTGAGAGGAAAGGTGAGAGACGTTTCACAGGCGGTTCTGCCTTGTGATGTAACCCCCTCCTCCACCTCCTTCAAAACCCTTCAGCAAGCCCTGGGCTACACGTTTGCTGGAGTGAGACTTGCGGCTTTGCGGGAACATGAGTCTGTGCTGAGCATGTCCCCCAGAGGGGCACGGGAGGCAGGGAAGCTGCAGATTGGCCCCGCAGAGAAGGGCAGTGCGGCCGAAGCAACGCTGCTGCTCAAATACCCAGTATTCATTCCCTCTTTCTTCCTTACTGACAGGGCTTGGACTTTGTTCAGGGCAGCAAAGGAGCCCTGTTTAAAATACCTAACACCCTACCAGGGGTGTCTAAACCAAAGCCCATAGGCCGCATGCAGCCCAGAATGGCTATGAATGCAGCCCAACACAAAACTGTAAATTTACTTAAAACCTTTTTTATGCCCATCAGTTTTTGTTAGTGTTTGTGTATTTAATGTGTGGCCTAAGTCAACTCCTCTTCTTCCATCGTGGCCCAGAGACACCATAAGTTTGGACAGCCCCACTGGACTTTCTTGTAGATGGTGGAGGTCACAGGACTCAGTATGTGACCAGTGAGACACAATTGAGTTCTAGTGGATGGGGCTTCTGGAAGTTACTGTTTTCCTGAAAACAAGGGAGAGAGAGGTATCCCCCCATACACTTTTGCACCTTTTACCTTTTACCTTTTGCCCATCCCCATTTCCTCCTGCCTGGAATGCAGATGTGATGCCTGGAAATGGAGTAGCCATTTTGCAAGCATTAGGACAGAAGGAAGACTCAGGCTTTTCCCATAAGCTAGATGGTGCCCGGGTTCTCAGTGACTTCCTTCAGCAGCTCACCAGCCACAAACACTCACCTCTAGATTTCCTATCACTTGAGAAAGACAAACCCCAATTTGGCTAAGCCACTGTGGTCAGGTTTCTGATGCATGCACCATATGCCTACCTAAGTTCATTTCCTTCTTTTCTTCAACCTTCTGGAAGCACAGCATCCCCCATTTCCCATATGAAAAGGTCTCACCCTTTTCACTAGAAAACAAAGTAGCAGTGAAACAAATTCAAGGGACCTGCTAGCTCCTACACTGCAGAAGGAGAGACGGAGGGAGGGGGAAAGACAAGGGCCTTCCACTTTGGCTTTCACTGGCAGAATGGTCCTGGATATTATAAAGCTGGAAGGAATGATAAACAAGAGGTTAGAGCTCAGATCAGAGCTCAAAATGTATCTAGAACACCTGGGGTGGAGGGTGGGTTTCAACAGAAGCTGGGGTAGGCACTGGGTTCTGCTCCCTGCTCTCCTGGCTCTGGGCGCCCCTCCTTCTGCTTCCCGATTTATACAATGATTGGGGTATACAGTGTGTCTGCCAAGCCGCAGATATTGGAGCAGAGGAGACACAGTGGCTCAGATACCGTTTCTCAGCCTAGGAAACAACCCTGTCCTAACAGGCCTGAAATTCACATGGCAAGTGTTGGGGGGACCCACAGAGCTGGAAGGCACTACCACTCAGTTCAGTGTGCTCGGCTAACAGAGAAGCGAGCTAGGAGAGGCTCATAGAGGGCCCAGGTGAGCCAGGACCGTCCTCAAAGATGCCTCACCCCTTCCCACTTGCCCCAGTAAGTCTCTCTTCTCAGTGCTGAAGGCACCAGGAGGAACCATTCAGGTTTGGCAGTGATTTGCCAGAATGACACAACAATGAAACTCTAGGAATTTTATGGGTGCAAAGCTTAAAGTGAAGAAAGAGCGTTGTTAAGACTCAGCGTTAGATTACGTTAAATGTGTGCGTGAGTCCAATTACTACGTGTGTCACTTAGAACAAATCCCATTGCACCTCTGCGTGCTATTCCTTAATTGCAAATGAGGAGGCTGGAGCCTGCCGAAAGGCTCCTTTCTGCCCTAAAACAAGCTTCTGGGAGGCAGAAATCACATCTTAATCATCTCTATATTCCCAGCCCATGGAATGGTGTGGTGTATAAAGGGAAGTCAAGAAAATGCTTGTCAGAGGAATGGTTGGGTTAATGAATGACTGACGTGCATGGAGCCATGCATAAACTTGTCCTCCTTGGCACATGAAAGCAATGTAGCAAAATTCAGACTCATAGGGACACAGGTTTGGTCTCAGCATGAAACCTGAGCGCTGCCCAGCAAGGGGCAAATGACTAGAGGTGGTAGTGAGTTACCATCACTGAAAGGATTCAAGCAGATGTTGGGGGCAGGGATGCAATAGAGGCAACGGGTTGGCGTGCTGGGTAGAAAGCTAGAACACGTGACTTCTCTGGCCCCTCCCAACCCTGGAGTCTCCTGGCCCAGCTCCCTCACTGCAGCTGACAAGACCTTGCAGCAGAACATTACTTCACTTGCCCTCCTCTTTCCAAATCCACATCAAAAACTTCTACTCCATGAGACCTTTGAAGTCTTTTTCCCACCTCTTTTTTAAAGGACAAAGAAATGTGCCTGGAACGGATACGTTTTTGGGTTCAGGGTGTGTCTTTCTCCCATGGGCAAAGGTGTCATGTCAGGGGAAATGCTCAGACCGCACCCCCCGCCAGCAGCCCGTGCCCCTGTCCCGGCCATTAGAGCTGCATCCCTTCCCTTCTGGGGCTTGGTCCTGAATGTGCAGCTGCATCTCACTTAGTTTGCACTGGAAAGAGTTCGCAACGTAATAGAGGGCAAAGAGCCATATCACATGTGTTTAACTGGCACAAAACTAACTATGTGAATTTAGTAGTAAGAAACAAATGTAGTTGAAATAATGAGGGTGATCCTACTCTTCATTCCATTCCGTGAGCATGTACCCCAGAATGAGAGATGGGAAAAGAGAATCTTCTGTTTTCCAAGGTGGCCTTTTTTCCCCATACTTCTTCAAGTATGGGTAGATTATGAATAGATTTTTGAGATGTGTGTGGGTGGTAGGATTAACTATACATGGATTTCTTCTTTATACTTTGACTTTGGAATGTGCCTTGGTATCAGCACTGTCCTATGTAGAAGGATCCTGAGAGGTGTTTCCTGCAAAACCTCTGAAGAAGGCAAAGGGTTGTGTTTAGATCCTGCAGACAGACATTGACCCTGGACATCCTCAGGGACAGGGTAGACCAGTTGACCCTGCAGCCATTGGTTAAAGTACAGGACAACTTCGGTCTCCATGTGTCAGACCAGCAGCACTTACCAAAAAACGCGGTCCATCAATGTGGTGCTTCTTCACGGCCTTTTCACAGTCCTTGTAGTTCAACTGCAGAGGAGAGGAAGGCGCCGTGAGTGCAGGCAGGCTCATGCCATTGGTTCCCCTCCCTTGCCTGCCCCCGAAGGTAGCAATTTGTGGTACTTGTGGCTAGCCAGACTCCCCGCTGCCTCCCCTGTCTAGCAGCGGGGCCAGTCCCTACCTCAGCCCTGCTTTCATTGATCCCTTGGGACTCTCCGAAATGGAGAACTTGCCTCGGTCCAAGGCTTTGGGGCCAGCCCCAGCAGAAAGAGTATACCTTCGAGGCTGCGCTCCTCAGGCAAGCAGAGGAGCAGAACGCGGAGAGTAAACAGCACCCATTGTCTCGCCCCCCAAAGGCTGCCCGGTGGACGGGCGGTGTGTTTCCGCCAATCCTTCTATTCTAAGCATATTTCTAAATGCCATCGAGGTTGTAATTTGCAGTCAATCTTGTTAGCCTGACTTTGTCCTTGGAAATTACCTTAAAGTGATCATATAAGCACTGCCTCCTGTTACTGCAAACTTACTTTAAACATTAGTTGAATTATTCCCTCATTGCTAGACATTTAGGTTGTTTACCAAACTGCTGCCCCAATAATGAGAATAGCAACTTCCAAAAATGATCAGATGCTTGTTCTCTGGCAGTCACTGTTCTAACTAGTTAAACCAATTGAAGTCATTTAATCTTGACATTTTTCAGATGGAGAGTCAAAGGCTCAGGGAGTCAAGTAAATTGCATGAGGTTCCGTGGGTGGTAGGTAACAGAGATGACAATCGGACTTTAGCCAAAGGCTTTAATATCTTGGTCAGGAATGATCCCTGAGTTGTTAATAACATATAACTTACATACAGTAAGTAAAGTGAACAAATTTAAGTGCAGCTTTATACACCATCCAGATCAAAACATAGGGTCCCACAGACATTCTTTTACATCCAGTTTTGTTTTCTTCTACTTAAGATAAATTTTTTATCTTAAACATTCTCAGGATAGAGTTACAGAATTAACAAGAATTATCATTTTGAGGGTCTCGGTCGCTTTCCTAAAGAGTCACATCAATTGACAATCCTATCAGGTGTCTGAGTTGCCTTTTCTTCGACAGCATATAAGTTTGCATTGGAAATGACTCTAACTTGATGTTTGAGAATGGAGTATTTGAGGTTAAATGTTTGTCCCTGAGAGTCCTAGGCTCTTGTCACTGATGTGAGTCTCACAGCTTGTGGCAGCCTTCTTCGGGTACAAATTTAAAATCAGGGCCTTTTCGTATGACTAACAAGGCTAAAAAGTAGGCACGATTATTGTAACCTCTTGGTTCAAAAGGGTAGGTAGGATGGGTGCTAGAAAGCTCAGAAAGAGCCAATTTAGAGGCCAGCGTGGAAACCAAGCGGCATCTGAGGAGCCCCAAGCACCCTCTTATCTACATGATCCGGGCTCTAAGTGGTTCTGGAATAGTCCGCTGCCTTGAATTCATCATATTCACTGTCGTCATTATCAGACGGACCTCTGGTTTTGCAGAGCGCTGACTGCAACTTTAGATGGACAGCCAGCCTTGTAGACTGGGGCTGGCCCAGAAGTTTGATTCTGATCCCATAATATCTGGCCTTGGGAGCTAGAATCTATATTTTTAGCAAAACTTAGGGGACTTTTGTGAGCACGCCGCTTTGGTGGGCACTGATCTAGAGCAGGTACCTGGTGTTACAGATGGGACAGCTGAGGTCCCAAGAAGCCTGAAGTCTGAGGCCTGAAGGCACACAGTGAGCTGGGAAGGCAGGTGCGGTTAGAACTGTTGGCTCTGAGCCAGGGCCCTCCGCTGCAGGGCCCAGAGATGCTCTCCTGCTCAGTCCAAAGGCATTGGAAGGGTTACAGGAATATAAAACATGACCGAAGTCCTCCTTGGGGCTTCCATTCCAGAGAATGAGCTATGTGTAGCTGAGGCAATGAGACACAAATACTCGCCTGTCTGCCTGGGCATCCCAGCTGGAGTCCGGTGAGTCCAGCAGGAAAAATGGAAGCTCGAACACAAATTGTCCCCTCTCTCTGTTGAATGCCTCCCATACGCCCTTCCTTTAATTCTCCCAACAATCCCACAAGGTTAGTTACTGTTAGTATCCCTGTTTTACTGATGAGGGAGCTGAGGCACATAGGGCTCAAGTAACTAAGGCAATGGCACCAAGCTAGCAAGTGGCATAGCCAGGATTCAAACCAGAGTGTGTCTGACCCCACAGCTGGCTGGGGAGTTGTTTCCAAGGAGGGCCTGATATCACTGCTTCATTAGATATTGCGCCTGCCGATCAGTCTTTTAAATAGGAGATTCGATGGCTAAGATCCATCCCCAGATAACTCTATGGTAGTTCACTTGGTGTCTTCTCCCTGGGGGACTGAAGTGTTTGGGATTTGAAGGGTGCTTTTCTGAGTCTCTGAGGGGTCTTCCAGATCACAGATGAACCTCAGTCTCCTCCTTCCTGCCTTTAATCCTTTTGTGCTGGGGGGCGGGGGTGGCGCGGGGAAACCTGTTCGGGTGCTGAGGACTTGTCCCAGGGTTTGGGGTTTCCAAACAGAAAGTTCTCCCTTCCCCCAGCTCAGACAGCGACCCCTCTCCCTGAACCACCCCTGACCCGTAGTCCACCTTCCTGTGCTAAGGGGGCTTGGCCCATGGATTCTTCTGTTGCTGGGCTGGCTTGCCTGTTCTTCTCACATTGCTGATGGAGCCTAACTGGGCCTCCCAGCCTGGCCCCTGGTTTCCCTCCCTTTCTCGATTCTTCTCTCTTTTCTCTATGGAGCTAACATGCCACTTGATAGGATCTTGACAAATCTCGCCAGTTGCCCTAGTTCATTTGGTCTACATTTAAGAAAAGTCGTTAGAAATACCCTTTGAGCAGCCATCTTCAACCCGCAGTGCTGAGACCTAAGGTTACTCTGACCTTTCGGAGGGGAAAAGAATGGAAACGAGATGCACAGAAAGCAGCAAATAGCAGGGTCTCTGGGCTGTGCCTCCATCATGCCACACCTGGTTTGACATTTTCATACCTTTCTTCTTTAGGTTGGGGAAGGACAGCTGTGACAGTCAGTACCTTGGTCCCACAAAGACCCCAGGTTTGACTCTCTGCCCCAGGGAGGCTGTTCTACCCAGGAAAAGCAGTACGCTGACTTAGATGATCTCTGAGGCCTTGACTTTAAACTCTCATCTGCATGATGGTCTGGAGTGTCAGCAGAATTTGGTGTCAGCCTCCTCCAATGGATCAAATGTCCCCCACAAGAGACACCATATCCCTTGTACAGTGACAGAGGGTCCCTAATGCAGTCATGTGGCTTCGGACCTGCCCAAGCAGATATGTGACCTGTGGTCCCCCCAGCAGATGCCCAAGCACGGGGATCTTTGAGCATCTCCAAGGCTGGAAGACAGGACAACAACCTTCTCGTCTCAGCTCTACCATAGCTCAGCTGCTGACCCTGCCTGGCTAAGCCCCGTCCTCTGTAGGAGCCTCGGTTTCCCTAGCTGTAACCTGGGCTCATACCAGTTCTGAACCTGCCTCTCAAGACTCTCATAAAGCTCCAGGGAGACTCTGTCCCACCTAAGGGCTCGAGGAGCCCTCTTTTCAGGTCACGAGCAATGACTGCCCAGGCACTGCCTCCAGCAGTGCGCAGCATGGCCTTCTCCAGCCTCCCGGCCTGCCTCTCCTTTCCCCTACGCCCGGGACACAATTTCTCCATTTCTAATAGGTAGCCCTGATCTCACTGGTGGTTATAGCAGCTCTGCGTCTCAGAGCATGGACTTTGAAACCAGACAGGTGACTGGAATCCTGCCTCTGTCACATGTCATCCCTGGGGCCTTTGAGGCATGTAACCTACCTAAGTTTATTTTGCAGCTGAGCCAAAGGAACAGTATTAAACTGGAGCATGTTATACAGGAGAGCACAAACTCAGGCCCTGGCACGTAGTAGGTACACACATTCATTTGAGAGCCTCCCTTCTCCCTCGATCTCACTGCGGGAACACTCAGTGGCACAGAGAGATCTATAGGGTCCTCACTTAACTGGTGAAGTTGCTGCGAGGTTGGATGTTCACTGCCATCTTTTATGCCTATCATGCCTGCCCGGACTCTGTCTTAAAGCCTCTGTCCAGCCCGCTGAGGGCACTGCCAGCCCCACCACCAACAAAGAGCAAGGCTCACCTTCCTGAAATAGTCTGCGAGGCTGTCGGGGTCCCAGGTCAGGACCTCTGAGCGGAAGGGCACGTTTCTCAATGCCATGGCTGCTCTCCTGGGAGGAAGCTCACGAGCTGAGCGTGGGTGTGGCGCCCATAGACAGAGAACCCCAAATCCAGAGTGTGGCGGTGTCCTTTGCTCTTCCAACTCCCAGTTACCCTCTGGAACGGCCTTGTTGGGGCCAACGACTTTGCTGCTGCAGCCAAATCCCAGAAAGCAACGCTTCCTCTGCGAACAAATATGGTCTCTTCTCAGAAAACGACTCAGCAAGTTTCCTTTACCACTTCCTCTGCTGGGCTCTAAATAAGTAAACAAGGAAGCTCAGCGCCAGCGATTGGAGAGCCAGAGAGGGCGACGAGGCTGGTAATTCCCGACAGGTCCCAGCCACCGTGGCGCAGGGGGAGTGGCGATGAAGGGCAGTTGGACTTCAGTGTGAGTCCAAGTACGTTTTTGTTAAAACTCCTGGCACCCGTATGTCTACATCACATTCCTGATTGGCTGGGTCTTTAGATTAAAATCTATTTTGACAGTTGACCTAAAATATAGACAATCTCCCACATCAGTGAGTTGCCAGGGGAAGGAGCATGGTGGCCGTTGTGTGTTTTCCAACCACCCCTCAGGCTCGCTCTAAAGGACAGAGTTGAGATTCTTTCAGCTGCCTCCATAGAGTTATTACCAGAGGATTCTCCGTGACTGAGTGAGTGAGTCCGGCATGCAGCGCTGAGGAAGGGCCTGCGCCAGGCAGGGCAGGGCAGGCTTTGTTTCTCATGCAATGGTGTCCATGTTGTGCAACCCAGGCGAGGCCTGAAGAGCTAGGAATCTCAGTTTCCATGTCTGCGAAACAGGAGAACAGAGGGCTTGCTTCATGAGCACCTGAAACTTAGATGCATTTAACTAGACATACGTAAAGGAAAAAAATTAAAAGAAAAAAAAATGATCAGGTTGGATGCCGCCATATATTCCACTTCTCATAGTCTGAGCTCTTTGTCAGCAAACGCATTTAGGCCGCATTGCGACCTCTAGACCAAGTTCACGGCTTCATCCAGCAATCTGTGTGCACACACAGATGGCCGTGGGCTCCAATGCCTGAGGAAGACGCCCGCTCTGCTGCACTTTCTGAATTGACGCTACGTTGCCCCTGAGGTGGTGCCACTCCAAGCTTTTCCAGGGGGGACTTTGGCCACGCCCCTTCCCTACCGCGGCTGCCACACACGAGCCTCACGGGGTCGCCCGGTCGTGTTGAGCTTCAGTAAGATCTGCACTTCATCCCAGGCCAGGACCTTTGTGGCGGCGGTCCATACACCGGAGCTGGCGCCGTCCTCCCCGCATGGGGCGCTGCGGCGTCGCTCGAGGCAGCCAGGCCGAGCACTCCTCGCAGGGCCTGGACCTGCGGGCTCTTGCTGACTGACCGTGCCCTTCCAAAGCCCCGCCCTGGTGGGAGCGGTCACTTCACTTTTCACATCACCAGGAGAGCAACTAATGATTTAAAAAAAAAAAAAAGCCATTTGAAAAGAGAAGGAGAGAGAGAAATTGCTTCCAAGGAGAGTGATCAAAGCCATAGCTGGGAGTTGAGCGGGACCTCAGAGGATGGTGCAAGGGGAGCGCATGCTGGGGGGTGGGGGGGGGGGGTGGGTGTGTGTGGATGTGTGTGGGGGGGTGTGTGTGTGTATGTGTGTTGGGCGTCCTTCACGAGCAAGTAAAACATGCCATACCCCTGGAAAGGAACATTCGAGATCATCCCTAAAAATAGAAGCAGTTTTTAAAAATGATGCTCACTCCCCACTCAGGAGAATAAAAATCTGCAAAAGTTGGAATTGAGATATAGCTGGTAAAGTTGGAATTAAGGCTGGGCTCATTGGCCCAGCCTCGGGCTGCATACCTGTAAGATGGGCAGGGACAGTAGCAGCCTCTGGGTAGAGATATGATGCTGCTGCGGGAGAGCCGGGCCAGCTCACACTGACCCTCTGCAGAGCCTTGGGCTGGGCCCTGAGCACGAGGCACAGCTGAGTGGGGAGCAGCTGAGCACAGGGATGTCAGCCGGGGCCGGTGGGAGCCTTCCGGGGGGACCCTCGCCCGCCTTTCTCTCCCACGGCCGGATGAAGACACTCGAAATTCACAAAGCCCATGAAGAGGTTAGCAGAGCCGCCTTGGGCTTTGTAATCTGTATCTCAGGGTTGGGACAGAGTCAGATAGTCCCCAAGCCCAGTAAGAAGAGCACCATGCGAGGACACCAGCTGGGGGCTCACAGGACAGGAATCTTAAAAGTGCATCAGAGCCTGTGGACAAAAAAGCAATACTTGCAGGGAGTGCCTAATAAGTTGGATTTTTCAATCTTTGGGACAAAAAAAGGTGTAGGAGCAGTGCACTGAGACCCAGAGGGGGATCACCCCAATATCCTTCGGGCCCCTTCCAGACTTGAGGGTCCCTCTGTTTCCTGCTAACCCAGGGCAGATTCAGGTGGGCAGTGGAGGCAACCGCCTCCTTCACACCTGATGTTAGAGGTGAGAAAAATAAGCTGTTTATCTGAAGATTCATCTCAAGAGGCTCGGAGTCTCAGCCTCTGCCTGTGCGGGCGGGGGAAAGAGGTCTCACTCAGGGTCCAGGAGAGAACGGGCAGTAGGACTCTGGAGGGGACAATGGGTTGACCTTCTTAGCAGAGGCACCTCCGGAGTCAGGAGGTGGGTGGGAGGATGTGCCGCTTTGGATTTCATTTGAAAGCTGGTGTTGGTTGGAGGACAGAGAAAAAGGCAGAGGCGTCTGGCCCACAGAGTGTGCTGCCTTGGGGGCGCTGCAGAGAGCACGTCGGCATTGCATCACCCAGCCTCACCTCCCCTGACATTTTATGCTGAGATGCATTGCTATTGGACCTTTCTCTGGGCCTGGGTGGATTTGCCTGTCAAGGGAAGAACTGCCACCTTCCCAGGGAGGGGACAGTCCTCCCCAATCTCTGAGGCTGGTGGTACAAGCACCCACCATCTGTGTGGGACCTTCTAGGTGGCAAAGGACCCCACCCAAGGGGAGAGAGCCAGGAGGGTCCTGACCGCTCTGCTGGACAGGGCAGCTGCACACACCGGCAGCCGTACAGTAAGGCACAAGGACCTTGGTGGCTCTGTCTCTGAACAGGCCTGCCGCCAGAGACAGGCCGGCTGTGTAGTGTCCCCGTCCTAGTCCTAACCAGCACTCCTGGAGGCTCTGGGTGGGATGTGGGGGAGGGGCTCATGCAGGCCACACTGCACTGTCTCCTTGTCCCACCCCAGACTAGGCAGTCCTCACCTCCCCCATCCTGGGACACGCATGACAAAAGCACGAACCAGGTGCCCTGGGCAAGGCTAGGAGGAGCAATATTTTCCACTTCCTCAGAGCTGACAATTTCATTCTCTTCAAAAGATTGGTATGTTTTTCATCCTCTCTCTTTGTGTCTCTTTCTGTTGTTTTAGCTGAGGTACCTCGCAAGTTCAGCAGTGGGTGGGAGGAAGTACTTATTTGGGCTTCCTGTCAAGCCTCCCTTCTTCATCTGCCCTATTTTTGACTTAGGCAGCCTATCCCCAGATAGCTTTGCTCAGAGGGAAGCTCCCCAAGTGCGCGCAAGGGTAGGTGGGTGTGGGCAGGGGTCAGATGCGGTGAAGACAGGCTTCTCAGCTTGACAGAAGGGGAGAAACCTTGCCCCCTGCCCCCCCGCACGCTGGAGAAGGGCAGACTGAGGGAGGGAGCAGGATGGGTGCAGAAAAGCAGAAACAATTTCACCTGCAGCTGAGCTGCATCTCCAAGGAAGAGCTGAGGGCCCAGGAAGCATGTGCATCCGCTAAGATGAGGCAGAGATTGGACAACAAGCCCGGCCGCCCAACATGGGCCCAGCCCTGTCTGCCCCTTAGCACCACTGATCCTCAAACAGCCCTGTGAGGAGAGGCAGTGCTCCAGGGTTACAGATGTTGAGAGAGACTGCGATTCACTGGCCCAGGTTCCCCCAGTGAGGAGGTGGGACACAGGCGGGCTGGCGCAGGACCGGGTCACCCGTTTCTGTCTGGGCGCGCCACTTCGCTGAGGGCCGTGGGTCTGGACTTCCTGCCTCACCTGTGGCCTTGGTGCCGGTGGCGGCCTCACTCTTTGTGCAGCTGGGGTGTGGCCTGCATTACCTGCCTTGGACATGTCAGTGCCCTGCCCCCCACCCCTTCTTATCTGACCTTCCAGACCTTTGACCAGGCGGAGTGCCTCTCCCAGCAGCACACTGTCCAGGGGGTGCTTACCGGTTCCTCACTGCGCATGGGCATCAGAGCTTTCCCGGGAGCGTGTTGCTGGCAGAAGGAATGCGGCTGGGTTTGGGAGAAGAGGGTGCATCTGGGAAGCACATCATTTGTCTACCCAAGCCTTCCAGGAGTTCTCAAGGGTTTGGGGAAAGTAAGTGCTAGATTTGTACACCGATTAATTTTATCATGTGATCCCTCTGACCACTCTCTGTGAAAGGGAGATAGGACCATACATACCCATTTTACAGATTACCAGGAAAAGCCTGGGAAAAAATGCTTGTCCAGGGCCTCACAGATAATCAAGGGTAGAGTATGTGATTTGAAACCATACCTGTCTGATGCTAAGGTCCCTCTAAAAGATGCAGTTTCCAAGGACAGAAACCAGTATTTAGGTGAGTAACCAGAATTTACCTGGAACAGGCTCTGCCATATTTATTGGGCAATAAAAGAGGGTATTTTCATCTTTGAGTTTCCCTCAAATAATGATTCTTGATTTGCATATAGTTTTCTTACATTAAGAATAAAAAACAGGCTAGGCAATTCTGATGTTGGATTAGCGGTGCAGGCTCATGAGTTGAACCCCTCAAGTGTACCCTGCCAGTGGGCAGACACCCACTCTGGGCGATGGCTCAGCCAGGTCAGCCTGAGCGGGGGTGGGGCGTATGGGAGAAGAATCACGTTGGGAAGGAAGGTAGCCGGCCCTTCTTCCCTCCAGCCTGGGACCCTGTGTTGCTCTGCCGCGGAGACCAGTGCAGACAGTTGTCTGGCTTCTTTGTGTTCGAGTTCTTCAAACCATCCTTTGGGATATGGGAATACCCCTGTATCCTTTTAATGAGTTACCTTGTGACTCGGTTTGCAGGTTGGGTTCTGTAGCTTGCAACTTGAGTCTACTTGGGCCGCTGTAACAAAAATGCCACTGACTGGGGCGCCGATAAACCACAGACATTTATTTCTCACAGTTCTGGAAGCTGGAAGTCCAAGATCAAGTTGCCAGCATGGTCGTTATCTGGTGATCCTCCGTGTTCTCAGTGGAAGGGGAAGGAGCCCTGCTGATGGTACAGCGGGGCAGCAGGCGTAGTCCAGGGCCATCGCTGGCAAGCAGGGACACGCAGGCACC